ATTTTCATTTTTATTTTCATTTTTATTTTCATTTTTATTTTCATTTTTATTTCTATTTTCATTTTCATTTTTATTTCCATTTCCATTAAGCACTAATCGACGTTTGGATGGTGATTGGAGGTTGCTAGTTACACTACCGGTAGCGAGTCTCGGGTCTGTTGCTTGTTATTATGGCCAGGCTCCAGTAACCAACAAGCAGTCAGCGGCGACTTTCTTTCTTTCTAGGGTCTGGGCTGAAGAGATCAAGGATTGTTGCTATGCACATTGCAAACAAAACATTCGTCTGGGGCGTTTGAAGGCTGCGGAACGGAAACGGGACGGGACGGGGAGGTTGCTACTCGAGTAAGTGAGTGAGCGAGCGAGCCCATCTAGATCCTCAACTCGGGCTTTTCTTGAGGAGGGACTTTACTGATACGTGTTTGCTGCGTATATTCGTAAATCTCCAAAACCAGTGCAGTAATTGCAAAATGTAGATGGGTTGCAGCAATGGTAAGAGCGAACTTGATATAACGGTGCAACAACGATACCTGCAGATACTGATGGTGGTTGGTATCGTATGTGCATATGCAGAAGGGGGAAAAAGAATTCAGGTACACAAAGCCCGCGCCTCAACTCGTAGCCGCCCATCTACTTCTCTGCACGTGTGCTGTGTTCCATCGTGCATGCCGACGCCAACCAACAACCTGTCCGTGCCGCTCTCGAAGCAGGCAGCGGGCCTCACCCTGTTTTCCTTTCACCGGCACATATGTTCTTTCCATGGAAGTATCAACAAAGCCAGTCAGAGCGTACATGGACGGGGCCGAGCGTTTGTTTTTCTAAAGTCCGGACTCCAGATCCAGGAACCCCCTCTAATCTCCTCTCGTTCTTCGATCGCTCTTCAATGATAGTAATCCGCCCTTCCAAGTTCCAACCAACCTTTCAAAGGTCAATGATACACCTGTAGCTCCCCACCTTGACTTCCGCGCCACCGTTCAGAGGCCCCGACGAGCTATCAATGGTGAAGATCCCACTCTTTGTATCCGTGACCGTGCAAATAGTCTGCCCCAGCAGCACATCCAGACCAACCGCCTGCCCAAAGTGTGCCAGCAGCTGCTTCATGCTGTCTGAACTCAGCGCCGCGCCCTTGGAGTCCACGTATTTGCTGTAATCGGCGGACGCTGAGATGGCCGTTGCAGGCGCTGTGGAGGACGGGATGGTGGCTGCCGGGCTGCCGAAGTTACAGTCTTTGAAGATGGGGACTTGGAAGCTGGATTTGTCGATGGTGACTTTGACGTTTGGGGGGAAGCAGGGAGCGGCGGCGGCGCTGGGCCTGGCAGCGGCAGCGGCGGCGGCGCTTGGCCTGGCAGGGGCTGCAGGTGCTGCAGGGGCAGCTATGACTAAGGGGACGAGAAGTGTGTTGGCGAGAAGTGAGAGAAGGAGGCTGGACAGTGTCATTGTGGAGTCTGCGAATGAATACCGGCTTGGTGAGCGGTTTCGTCCGAGTACTTTGTTGTAGGTTGTGTACATAGTCCGAAGTATGCAACAGGATAGAAGATAGCGAGAGATAGGTTCTTGACTTCGAGAGACTGACTCGAATAGAGTTTCCAAGCAAATGCTTGCAGTAGTTTAAATCAAGGTTAAAGAGTAGGTGGGTCGACGACTTAAAAAGGAGGGTAACAGCTCTGAATGAGAGAGACCTTCAACGGAGCAAGCTCTCATGGTTGGGCCATCTGTATATTCGAGGCAGCTCCAGCCCTTATACGCGTTCCCGGAAGGACCGTGGGCGCCGGCCGTAACGAGAGGAAGTGGACCTGAAACAGAACGTTCAACTTGGCCCAGGCATGGAGGAAGGCTCATCAGATGCTTGGGAGTGTGAAGGTCGAATGATGCGTCGCGCTTGATGAGGTCGGATGTTTCATCTTCATACACCGGAATGCAGTTTCACGACTGAGCGGCACATCGACCGGATCAACGTCGAGATCTATATCTTTTTGGACTGCTGAATTGCAAAGATCAGATTGGTGAACGAACGAGTTGATACAAAGGACGGGAAGAACCAAAATGACATCTGGGAGAGAGTTGGATGTTTTGAAAAACTGAGTGTAATTTTGAAGGAATTGATAGCGTGATGTACGCATTGATAACCTGGAGGTTTTAGACTCACTCAGCTCAGCCAGGAGCTCCCTTTGCCACTCCTGAAAAAGCATTAACACCCTGATTCATTTCTTGATAGCAAAATGCACAAATTGGATCCTGCAGAACGGAGTGAACCACTACAGGGACCAAGAGAACTCTCCGAAAGCAGGGGCTTCCCTTTAGCATTGTGGGGAGTTTCGTCTGTTTGGACGTCCACAAGGGCTCAGATCTTACCCATTGCTACTGACAACGATCCTTATCTTGCGAGTCAACTATAATCAAGTCATCGTGTCTGGTTCCATAACATGTGAGCGTGTTACCAAAATTGGCTGACATGACCAAAATTTAAATTTGCAAATTCCCAGTCGAGAGTTTACAATTTTACCTGAAAGTCCTTGATCATCAAAAAGTTCAAACATTGAATTAGAGAAATGCTTGGCTCAACTTTGGAACCTACACGTATCGAAGAAAAGCTTGATCAGGTCTTTCACGTGAAGTTGTGTTGGAACCACGAGAGCCCCAGAGTCCTGGCCGGGCAGCACTTGGCAAGGCTCCTTTACCAAAGCTTCAGCTGACACCTTCTCTCATAGCATCATGTAAATTGCGGTTCCGCAAACTGGTTTCATTCAGGACCAATGACGGCGGGTCGTTAACCTTGAAATCTGCCGACAGCTTGGCCCTAAGCTCCATCGCCATAGCTCTTGACGCGGCTCCAGAAGAATGCCTTGTCATTTCTCAACGTGAACTCCCCGAAGTCATCGGTCAGAAGATTGTAGCTCCAGAAGCCTTGCCATACAAGCTTGTTGTTTCGTGCGCCCTTTCCAACGGACCGTAAGGAGAGCTTCATTCGATACATATACTTGGCGCTCACTCCTTCGGTTTCTATGAAGACATCTCCTTCAGCTTGCTTGAGGTCGACTTCGGGGTTATCAGTAGCTGTTGATAATCGCCATCGCCCCCTCAAGGCGTGCTGCATGAATATCGAAGGAAGGTATCCTCCAGCACCACCTCGATGAGTCTCTTGCAGTTCTTTGGTGAGATGATGGACAACCTCGGCTGGCTCATGGGTTGTGAGAAGACTGATGACCGTTCCATCTCGGAAGAACCGTAAGTACCGATAGTAAGTGACGATGTGGACCGGACTGTGCCAGGTAACTTGGGACTGGGATGCTTGTCCAGCCCTCTGATAGTTGACAGTACTGATATAACAGCCATTGAAACGGATACGAGGTCGTGTCCGGAACATTTGATGCCATGAACCTGCATAGCTGCTATGGAGACTTTCTGTAATATCCATCTTTTTCATGGGCAGAGCCGTAGCCTCGGCATTGAAATCTTCAGCTTCGAAGTCTGCATCTTCTGTCAATGGACCGCCGAGAATTTCTCGTTGCCATTGGTAATGCATAGCACCAAATCCGACTTCAGAGCCAAGAGAGACCCGCTTCCAAATTTGCTCTTCGGTGGCGACCAAGTACGCCATTCTTTTGCATACCTGTGCAAGTTTGCCAAAGGATGCAACATCTTTGATAGCAACCTCCATGAGTATATGGACAAGTATCTCATCAGGCAGCTCTCTAAGTGGACATGGAGGAGCCGGTGTACCTTCAATGGCTGGTGGTGCGGGCTCGATCTTGAGACCAGAGAATCCAGCAATAAGTTCTCTTGTGGTCTGTGTGTGCCCGTCTAGGGGGTGGTGGGTGGTACTAGGTACCGTTACGGGAGAATTCGAAGGGTTTGTACTGGTAGGTTTCGAAGCAAAGTATGATGGTGGAAAGTGTTTGTTCTTGTATTTCTGATCAACTCGATCATCCATCTATATACTTAGTCAGAAATGATCGACTGGACCGAGATGTAAAGAAACTCACACGGAAAGCTTTGCGGTAGAGAGTCAGGCTATCTCCAAGATTGCCAGCCGATTCTCTCTCTACCGCCTTCTCGTAGTGCTCCAAAGCAGACTGAGGCTCTTTTGCCACTGTCTTAGAGCTTTCTCCATTGCCAAATTCTTCCCGCCATCCGTCTAAATTATCAAAATTGCGAGCCGGTACGTCTTCTTCCTCATCCTTCACAGCATTCGAGACTCTGCTGGAGCTCTGGCGGGTGATAGGCGGTGGTCTGCGGGGAATCTTTTTTGCCTTCGTCTCTCTATGGGCATCGGTTTGTGATCTTGCGGATACCTCTGCTCGCCATTGTTGGCGGAACTCTTCAAGCTCTGGGATTGAATCTTCCATGGTGCCGGCTGTTGTACAATCTAGCAGTCTCAAGGTCGTAAATGGAAATAGTATTGATGCAGGTCTTGGTGTTGTCGTTGCGAAAGAGCTACTTAGCGTAGAGGTGGAGAAAGCTTAAATCCGAAAGGCCGTCATCGCTGCCCTGGCTCCGTTGTTTAAACTCTTTTGGGATTTTCTCCAGAGCTCGGCTCCGATCGATCTGAACATTGCCCGCATCATCACCTCTGGTACCGAAAGACTTTTGCGGACGACGACGACAACAACAACAACAATAACAACCTTCTGCGGATTAAAAATTCTCGTCGTGGATGACTGAGCTTGTTACCAGCATACCGAAACCATTCACGGTCGATGTCTGGAAATTGGGACAATACAGCGCATTCTGAGGCGAAGCTTGCCACGAGCAATCACCAGGAAGAATTTGGGGGTCAAAGGCATAATGGAATACATGGGGATAATGCTATGCCTGGTATCTCATCGAACATAGCCATGTCTAGAGTTGATGATGTCGATATCGGCATTACGGCGGGGCAGAAGATGATATCGGCCATGTCTGGGAGTTTGTTGACTTCGCTACTGGGCAAGTAGACTCGGAGTGTGCTACAGCTTTGAACTATAGTTAATATGTACGCAGTGACTCCTCTAGATGTTGTACGGGTCCGACTGCAATCTCAACCTACGAACCCGTCACCACTTACTACGATTTCGAAGCTTGCAGCAAATTCACCCCGGTCGTTCAATACACTCCCTCCCAACCTTGGGGTCACAGCATGTTGCAGGGAGGTTTTCTTTGCTACAAATAACGCGGAATACTGTATGGCAGCACCTAGGATTGGAGACGTTGGGGTGGAATGTGCTGTTGAGGAAACACAAAAGCGCTCCTACAATTCAACACTCGATGGACTACGGAAGATTGCCCGGAATGAAGGGATCACGACCCTCTGGCGAGGGCTATCTCCTACATTGGTAATGACAGTACCGGCGAACATCATATACTTCACTGGATACGACTGGCTCCGGTTCAACAATGCCAGTCCGATCAATCGATACTTCTCGGACAACTATGCTCCACTGATAGCTGGAGCTGCGGCTCGGATGGTGGCTGCTGCAGCCGTGGGGCCTGTCGAAATGTTTAGAACCCGAATGCAGGCAAGCCGTTCAACGGGAGGTGCTCATTTCAAGGAGACGGTTCAGGGAGTTGGAGAAATGGTTGCGACCCACGGATACACATCACTGTGGAGAGGTCTTACCTTGACCATGTGGCGGGATGTCCCCTTTTCCGGCCTTTACTGGCTAGGATACGAAACTATCCGAGGCCAGTTAACGGAAGCTAGAGAGCGAGGACGAGGAAGAAGTCTTGAGGCGGAGACCTCACGAGCTCGAGCAAGGAGCAGATCTCAAAGCCGAGAGAATCATTACAATACTTTCCTAGACAGCTTCATCGCCGGAGCAACATCCGGCTCAGTTGCGTCAATATTAACAATGCCATTTGATGTCGGCAAGACGAGACGACAGGTCTATGTGGGACCCAGAAATAATGTAGGAGTGAAAAAGATACCTGCGCCTGAGGAGCGGTCTATGCCCAGGTTCTTGTGGCACATTTTCAGAGAAGAGGGACTGGCAGGATTATGGAGAGGATGGATACCCCGCACACTGAAAATTGCACCTTCATGTGCCATTATGATCAGTTGCTATGAGGTCGGGAAGAGGGCGTTCAGGAGTATGAATGAGAGAGCAGAGAGAAAGGCGGCGAAGGGTGTATGATGGCATCTCCAATCTGGGGTGATTCGGCGTACCAAAAGGGGTGGACTTGTTATTGCATAGCGACCGGGCGTTCGATGGCTGGAAGCCGTCTTGCATTCAATCGGGATGAATGTTCTCTTTCTAATATTCTTCTGAGATATACTCTGTAAAACTATCAATCAGTTCCAAGACTCGCTCGGGCCTCCTGATCGCGTGAATCCCGCAAACTACTTTACGCGTATCGCGTCAATACGCCAGCGATGCGCGTCTCCACTTCTCTAATGCCAACCTCCACTTCAGCTCTTCAATCCAACTCGTTCCTTATCGACAATCTTCATCTCCCATCGATGTGCAAAACCAATTGACCTCCAAGCTGTCTTTCTTCGTCATCTTCCGTCGTTCAACCTTCCGTACGAGACTCTTCACCATGTCCCTCAAGCGCAAAGCAGGCGATGCTCCCACCTCCGACGCAAAGAAAGCTAAGTCGTCGCAAGGCACATTAACCTCGTTCTTCGGACCTCCCAAGACCGTCTCTTCGACTACCAAGGTAGCTGATACAACTACCGCTTCAACTGGCGTCATAGCTCCTATAGCGACTGCGAAATTCGACAAGGAGAAATGGGTCGAAAGCTTGACGGACGAGCAGAAGGAGTTATTGCAATTGGAGATTGAAACGTTGCATGAGAGCTGGCTGAAAGAATTGAAGGATGAGGTAACAAGCAAGGGGTTCTTGGAATTGAAGAAATTCTTGAAGAGGGAGAAGGAGAGTGGGCAGAAGATATTTCCGCCCGAGGAGGACATTTATTCTTGGTACACTCCTCTCTCCCCCCCCCACCCCTATCATCATAACACAGAAATATACTTACACGTACACAGGTCAAGACACACACCTCTCAACACAGTCAAAGCTGTCATTCTTGGCCAAGATCCCTACCACAACGTCAACCAAGCCCACGGCCTCGCCTTTTCAGTCCGCGCTCCCACCCCCGCTCCACCCAGTTTGAAAAATATGTACAAAGGCCTGAAAATAGACTATCCAGACTTCTCACCTCCCCCCAAGAACGGCGGCCTTTTAACCCCCTGGGCCGACCGCGGCGTCCTCCTGCTCAATACCTGCTTGACCGTCCGCGCCCACGAAGCAAACTCGCACTCGAACCGCGGCTGGGAGAAATTCACTCAAAAAGTCATTGACATCGTAGCTGCGAAGCGAACAAAAGGTGTTGCGTTCTTGGCGTGGGGGACACCGGCTGGTAAGCGAGTGGGAAAAGTGAATAGGGAGAAGCATCTAGTGCTTATGAGCGTGCATCCAAGTCCGCTGAGTGCGTCGAGGGGGTTCTTCGAGGGACACCATTTCAGGAAGACGAATGAGTGGTTGGTAGGACGGTATGGGGAGGGCGGGGGCATCGATTGGAACCTGAATGTTGAAAATGTTGAGGCGGGCATCCAAAGCCGTCCAGCAACATCATGAAGCCGATTGTATCAAGGTGTCGCGCTGCTGTGAGGTAACAACGAAATACGGCGTTTGGCTCACATGTATATTTCTATCATGAAGATGATCTCTCAAAGATATTCCGGAGCTGCTTGTCTATCTATGGATTTCTCGGGTAGATTGTTTACTCGACTCGTACAATCGCTTGGGTCTGAGTATCTGGAACATCGGGACATATAGGTAGGTGATGCTGAAATCCGGGCGTGAAGCGTAGATGAATTTGCATTCGAATATATGGATACCGTGTGGTTTTATCAATGCGTCTTACTCCGTCAGTAGTTCGAATCTTTTGGGCTTTCTTGGCAGCTAAGCGCGAAGCGCGGAGCGCGGACATGCGATGCTCTGGTCCTATCTACCTAATCCCTTCAGAGGGCCGACATCGTCCTTGTGTGACTTCGCCTATTCCGCACACGTCCTCTATCTCTATAGCAAATCGGACTCCAACTAAATACATGCCTATAATTCCTTTTTAGTCTGGTCTTCGGTAGAGGGAGACTTGTCAGCTTCTCCTCGGCTCCTGCCAGCTTTACTGTTACACATCGCTTCTGTTCGAACCGTGTCCGACGAAATCCACTATCCTGAAGGGTTTGCCTTTAAGGATATTGTCTCAAGGGCAAGTTCTGGTCTTATATGTCTAGATTCAGCGTCTCGTACCATGGTTAAATCCCCCCATGATGGAGAATATCAGGACGAAATTGCCATCGAAAAAGAAGATTTACGAACGACTCTATAACCACGGCGGGCACATTGGTCTTTTAAGCTATCATGGATCTCACGGGCATTTATTTCGACTCCAATTCGCTCCCAACGGAGACCTGCGATCTTTTCTCGGGAGGACATCGAATATTGAGACCAGGTAGCGGCTACTGTGGGCTCAACAGATTGCATTGGCTCTCCACTTTGTTCATTCCGAGAATACTTCCACGGAGACTTCAGATGTAGCAGCTTTCTTCTGGATGAAGAACCAGAGATTTTCCTGGACCACTTCACGCGGGTGGAAGTTCGAGGACGCGGACCTGATCCGATACTTGGAGGGGCGAATAGACGCTGGTTTTCCAGAAGTCTCTATAATACTGCATTGGCTTGCAACACGTTAGCAAGAAGACTTTCAGTTGCTCGGAAAGCCATGGCACCCTTTAGAGCGGTTGTGCACATATAGTGAAGGGAGCAGCTGAACTTGATGTTTACGTGACAGCACCATCCTTCGGCAATGGCTTATCTGTCAGAACTGGTTGGGCTTGCTTTAGTTTAACTTGAGTAACGAGGAAGAAAGTGACTACCGAAGTCTAATGGGAAAGGTTTGGTCGCAGAATCGGAAGCGAAAAGGGACTTTTGAAATAGGCGCGCTTATTGCTGCCACCTCAATATCGCAGCCTATAGTTCTCGGATAACTATCGAAGTTATATCGAAGGCAAGAAATTGATCCCCTATGCTAACAACTGACTTCTCTATTCAAACGAGACTCCAGAACAGTTTTATATTTGCAAGTGAAAGGACCCGACCATTCTCGTGGGATAAGCGAACGTGCCCTTTAGCGACTGTGTGATTTGTTTGACAAGGGTCTCTGAGACTGATCCGGTTGAAGACAAGACGGGTGCAACTGATTAGGTTGCGGAAGCACTAGTTCTGTAATACCGAGCAGGAAGCAGCATGTGCAGCATATAGTCAGTCAATTGGGCAGCGAAGTTATACGTACCCTCCTCTCGTACCTACCAAGGTCACCTCTGCCCGGGGCAAACATCTACGCCGATTATCCCGCCAAAGATAAAATCAATCAGTAGACCTTGCCTGGAAGAGCGCCTTGGCGGCTTTTGACGAATGCATCAGATATCGCGCTCTTACGATGTCATGAGAACGTATCTGATGAGCGATATTTCGAGAGATGAGTTTGTCGACCATGTGTCTTGAGTGCATATTCTGCTTGCCAACATCACGGCAAGTTTATACTGCTTGCAAATATCACGGCAAGCTGCGTCGGGTTGGGAAACGGTCAAGTGATCGCGGATACTGTGCAATCCTCTCAACAGGTGGCCACGAATACTGAAGGAGGGAAGGTAGGCAGGCTATGGGTGAGCGTCTAGCAGCATAAATTCTACTCCAATTCCGCCTCTAACTGCTTTTTGGGCAGGCTAATCACCTTCACCATCCACAAGCACTTCAAAATCCATCCTCAAACGAAATCGAACTCCCGTCCAAACATCTGCCAATTCTCTTCATCCATCATGCCTAACAGCATGAGCAAGGACGACGCGGCCCGCATTCAGTCTACTCAAGTAAACAACCCTCCTCCTCCTCCTCTTGTCCCTCGACGATTCTTATCTATCAACAACAGGAAGTGGCTAACAGATATGCAGGCCAAGAGCGGTGCTGACATGTCCTCCTCCGGCTTTGCGGCTCGAGCCCAAGGCGCCGGCGACCGTGCCGCAAACGAGGCCAGCACTGCTTCCAACACCGGCTCTGGTGGCGGAGTCTGTGGCGGCAAGGGAGGTGGAAATAATAAGGGTGCTGGAGCTGGTGGCAAGGATGGTGGCGCGAAGAAGTAGCTTGATCGAAGTCTGCCAGAAGATGGGCAGACGGTCAGGGGGAAGGGGAAGGGGGAAAGGGTTTGCAATGGATGAGATTGTGAAAGGATATTGGGAGTTTGGGATCTTGGATTGAAAAGACTGGGGAGCCGACTGAAAGTAGCACACTCTTTTGAATCGACGACTGGACTGGGTTGGGAATGAAACGCTTGTTATTCTCACATTTTGCAGTCTTTGCTTCGCGGTAATCAGGAAATCCAAGGGATGGGATGGTGTGATGTTGCGCCTACAGTCAAAGAGGTAGAGCCAGTATTCCAAGAATCGCCATGTTCCCAGTACTTACTCTCCTGTTGACCTGATCGTGCGGTTTGCATGCTTTGCAGTTGACAGTTGAGTCCATGTACGATTAGCTTGTTTGTTCCCGAAGCTGCTGAGAATGGTTTGGAGTTATTAAATCAGATTAGCAGAACGAGTTTTCATCGGTGCAGAATATGTGCAGAACAAGAAGATAGATACATACTTCACCTCATCTCTTGTACTTGTAACTGCTGCGGCGAGATCAATATTGAAGGCATTGTTGGCCTCAGGCCCCCCTCGGAACCTGCAGTCGGTGTTAGAGAAAAGGAAACACGCCAAGCCCGCTAGCGCCCGCTCTCGTTGCCATAGCAAGCGGCAAGCCCCACTAGTTATCACAATACCTCCAGGAGTGCCTCGAAAACACCATCATCAAGTATTCACAGTCGCATATTCACCACCACGACAACGGCAGCAATAACAACAACTTCTTCCACTGTTGATCCAATAATACACTCAACTGGGTCATAGTTCTCCCCCTCTCATACTTGGCCACAGCCTTCTGCGATCTCTTGTTTACGCGCCGCCCTTTGTTGATGAGACGAGAGACGAATTGAAAATGGCAGACCCAGGGGCGTCTTCTATTTCAGTCGCAGGTATATGGCAACACCCCCCAAGGAGATCTGAGTAGTGACTGATGCCTCCAAGTCCGCGTCCGACCTTTTACAATTCAAGAAGCCGCACAAGTGTAGGACATCACTTCATCCCCCTATCATACACGCATTAAAACATAGTACAGAACGAAATGCGACGATGGTAACCTGTTCTTGGGAGAAGGCTCGCTCGCAGGGGCTCCCACAGCAAGGCTGGGCGGAAAGGGTATCCGGCCGGTGATCAAGGTGGTGGATGACAAGTGCCTGTATGTTCTGTTTATTTCTGTGACGAACACAAGCTTAAAGTGGCAGGATCTTCGACCCCCCCGAGGACAACCCCATCCACAAGTTCGGTCGATCGCAAGTTTCCAACATGGGAAAGAGATCGAAGGATCAGACATTCGGATTCGACCGAGTCTTCGACGACAACACGACACAAGGCGAAGTCTACGAAGCTACGACAAGAGGTCTGCTGGACAGTGTTATGGAGGGCTACAATGCTACGGTATTCGCTTATGGGGCTACTGGTTGTGGAAAGACGCATACGATCACAGGAACGGCGGCACAACCTGGAATCATCTTCTTGACTATGCAAGAGCTGTTTGAGAAGATCGACGAGAGAAGTGACGAAAAGCACACTGAAGTATCTCTTTCGTATCTGGAAATCTACAACGAGACGATTCGGGATCTGCTCTTGCCAGGAGGCAGTAAACAAGGGCTTATGTTGCGTGAGGATGCCAACCAAGCAGTTTCTGTGGCGGGCCTCACCAGCCACCACCCAAAGGATGTCCAGGAAGTGATGGACATGATCGTCAGAGGCAACGAGTATCGAACCATCTCCCCCACAGCAGCGAATGCGACGTCTTCACGATCTCACGCCGTACTACAAATAAACCTCGCTCAGAAGGATCGAAACGCCGATGTCAACGAACCCCACACCATGGCCACACTTAGCATTATTGATCTAGCAGGGAGTGAGCGTGCGAGTGCTACAAAGAATCGGGGAGAGCGCTTGCTTGAAGGAGCAAATATCAACAAATCATTGTTGGCATTAGGCAGTTGCATCAATGCTCTTTGCGATCCTCGGAAGAAGAATCACGTCCCGTACCGAAACTCGAAGCTTACGCGGCTCCTGAAATTCTCGCTCGGGGGAAACTGCAAGACAGTAATGATTGTATGCGTGAGTCCTTCAAGCGCCCATTTCGACGAGACCCAAAATACTCTGCGGTATGCAAACCGGGCCAAGAACATCCAGACCAAGGTTACAAGAAATGTGTACAACGTCAACAGACACGTGAAGGACTTTTTGGTAAAGATAGACGAGCAGATGGCATTGATCAACGAGTTGAGAGCACAGCAGAAGGATTCGGAAGGGGCTGCATTTGTGAAGTTCAAGAAGCAAGGTGAGAAGCGGGAGGGTATTGCGAGAGAAGGAATCATCAGAATCCGTGCAGCATTCGACAACTCGGCTCCTGAACGACAAGAAAGGGTCAGCAATATGAAGAAACAACGACAAATCGAACGAAGAATCGGCCTCTTATCTGCATGGATTGGCGCTTTAGACAAATTCTGCGAATCCCGGGAGGATGAAGATATGCCGGCAAGCCTTTTAGCTCTGCGACAGACTGTCAACGGTGACTTGTTGGAATTGGAGAGCAGCAGACAGCATTATCACCGACGCTTGGAAAATATCAACTGGAAGCGCGCAATAGATTCGGCACTGCAGAATGCGATCAAGTCTCTGATCGAAGCAGATGGGGCAGATGGGGCAGAGGCTGCTAGCCTGATGCGAGAAGCGGAACTTTTGAAGGCAAACGCTGACATGGATGCTTGGCGAGAAGTACTGGATCAGGAAAAGGCTGGCGATGCTAAGTCTATGAAGCAGCTGCTCTCCGCTCAGTTCGACGTCATTTCTTCTTTGAACGACATTATGAGCATGAATGAACAAGACGCTGTCCAGCATGCGAAGTCTGTTCTCGGGCGCCTTCTCCAATCCTGCTCTAACTCCGTATCCTATGTTGTCAAGCCAGACGGCTCTTTGAAGGATGTCGAAGTATTCCCTCCAACAAAACGCGGAACCCCTAAGCGGAAGAAGCCTGCTGGTTCTGCTGCCTTCATCCAACCACACATAGCCATGCCAGCCTTAGCTGCAATGGCACCACAGGTGTTTGCCTCGCCCATGAAATCTTCGCCGCGGAGGAGGAAAGCGGTTCTTGGGAAGAAGGGCATCTCTTTCACGCCAAAGAAGCGCAGCGTCCGCTGGCGTGATGATACGGACTCGGGAGCGCTTGCCGAATTCGAGAAGACGCCTCAGAAGCAGGCTTCAACTCCAGAAGTCTCATCGGTAGAACAGAGCATTGAACTACCAAAGCTCCCAACCTATCTAGCGGAAGATGCCTCTCACGAACCGCTCGGCTCATCTCCTATCCCAACAGCACCAGAGCCATCATTTGAGATGAAGCCCAAAGTCAACCGCTTCCAGGCAGGGTTCCTCTCCAAGAAATCGGACAGGTCGCCCCCCAAAATGACCAAACTCACATCCTCGGATAGTGAAACATCGCCACTGCGCGACATCAATGCTTCGAATGCTTCGAACCGGTCGTTGCCCCAAATGATGCAAGCCGCAGAAACCAGCCCCACAGATAGCGGAAACAACTCTGCCTCAGAAAACGAGGGCAGCTCCCACTTGGACAAAGTGGAAGTCGCGCAAATCAGCAGGGCGTTGAAGCGCACGAGTTCCATATCCAGAGCATCGAATGTCCACGACTCGGTTTCCCGCACTCACCGACGTCGAAGTCCCACAGCTGCTACGATGGCGGCATCTCCCCCCAACGAAAATCACCTATTCACGGCCAGCCATGCTCGCCGAATGGTCAACAGCCAGAAGGAAGGAGGCTTCTCGGTTAGTGTGCTTAGTCCTCGTACACAGCCGGTCATCAAGAACCACGTGCGTCGCACTACCATCAGCGAAGGCCGACAAGCTAGCGGGACGATGGCCAGCGGAGCTGTACGACTTGCTGGTACCGTCGGAGCTGGGCCGAAACCAAGGGAGGGACTTGCTGGTGTCGTCAAGGGTGGATGGAGATAGGGAAGGGAGGGGTTGTGTTTCTTGAGTTTTCTTGTGTATGGATATTTTGTTGATTAGTCGGAGTGGGTTTGGGAGCACGCACACACACTGCATAGCATAGCGCCGGTATGATGATAATGACCTTTTTTTCTGTCTTCTCTTGTACATTTTTTCTTATAGAGGCTCTTATCTGCACTGCTGATCTGAGACTTTTGGTTGGCGTCCTTGCGTCAGGGTCAGGGTCTGATCCGGGCGTCATATACGGAGTACCGGTACCTAGGTCCAGGCCGAGAGGAGGTGGTTGATCAATTAGAGGTGTGATGCGACGGGGTCGTGTGTGAATATAATAGTAGTAGTAATAGTAACTGTAACTGTAACTGTGATTGTGATTGTGCTTGCCTTCTGTCCAGTGGGATGGATGGATTAATTAATTAATTAATCAATTGCCTTCTGCGAGGTATTGTTGTCGTTCTTGATACGGAAAGGTAAAGGTAAAAGGTGCAGAAAACCTTTTTTGCAAATACTTTGATAAAAATAAAAATATATTTTTTTTCTTTTTTTAGAAAATTTAAACATGTGTGAGAGGTGTGAGAGGTGTGAGAGGTGTGAGAGTTGTGAGAGTTGTGAGAGTTGTGAGAGTTGTGAGAGTTGTGAGAGTTGCTGAGAGTTGCTGGGAGAAGAAGAGGAAGGAGATAGGGATGCTAGGGATGCTAGGGGTGGGTCAACCGGGTTAACCGGGTTGGTTAGTGGATGGATGGATGGGTTGGTAGGGGAGAGGGGATGGATGGGATGGGGAGGGGGGAAGTAGGGAGGGGAGGAGCAATGCCCAATGCCCAAGTCTTGAGTCTTAAGTTACATTAAGATAAATTAAGACAAGATAAGTTAAGATGAGACGAGAGTGTGATGGATTTACTTTTTGGGCTTTGAGCTTTAAGCTTTGGGCTTGAGGGGGGGGGGAGGCTTTTTTGCTTCCATATACGTAGTAGATGGTCTGCCATTTGCGGGAGGGAGAGGGGGAGGGGGGAGGCTTTTGTGATTGACAGTTAGGTAGGTATGTATGTAGGTAGGCAGGCTTAGCAGTAGCAGTTGACGCAGTCAGTCAGCCACTCACTCGTCGGTCAGTCAGTAGTCGTCTTTCTAATCTCCAGTTTGCGGACGGTGTGAAAATATGGAAATATAAAAATTAAATAAAAGATTGGTCGATATATATGCCTGTCTATCTAGGATATTATGCGATATCATACGATGCGACTAGAGGTAAAGCGTGTACTGAAATAGTAGAGCTTAACTTGTTATTCGATTTGATTACTATATGGGCGGAACTACCAACCAATCACCACCACCACCACCATCGAATTGGATACGCAAAAAGAATGTATTGAAATAATTCCAGTTCAGTTATTTTAAGATAAGGAAAATCTATACGGCAATAGATAGCCGGCCGCTTATACTATGGAGAGGACAGCGGCATGTGGAAAAGAAGGGACAGCCGAGCCCTCGAGCGAAGACAGACGTACGTACAGAACGTCCAGCATCCTACGCACCACCCGTCTATTTCCGTATCTCTCCCTCTCCCCCTTCCACCGTCACCTCCGCAGACCGAACATTTGAACGCACCCTCCCCCTCCTTCATCCACTGACGGTCAGTTCTCGGCAAGCGCAGAGAGAGCCGTCCCTCTACGCAGGACCCGTGACCGTGATGCTGCCCTTGTCCATGCTTGGCATCTGCTGGAGCTTCAAGGTGTCTTCGTCGCCGAGAGTAGCGAAGCGCGAGTACATGTCGAAGCCGGGGAAACCTAGTCTGGCCATGAGCGGGCCGAGCTCGATCAAACCGGCGATGATGAGACCGATGCTGACTTCGACTGCGGACCAGGAGAAAACGGGGGCGGCGTCGTCTATATGCGGATTAGCTTGTGCGGTCTCAGGATGGGATGAGAGTGGGGCTTACAGAGTTGATCAGAGGATTTCTGGAGCTTGAGAAGGGCGAAGAGACGGATGATGTTGGCGATCGTGGCGCTGGGGAGCATGTCAGCATATGCTCATTAGAGATGGTAGCGGAGAAGGAACTTACGCAATACCCAAGCTGAAGATACCATAGATGTATCTCTTCAGGATCTTGTTCAAGCCCTTGCCCTTCATCATGACCCATGGCGAAGTCATGAGCAGGATGTCCAGCGTGAACGTGACTGCGCACAACGCAAGACCCATGTAAAGCTGGCCTTGGAATGGCAAGCACTTGCCCTTCATCTTCGGGTTGAGCATGTTCCACGCGTAGGAGATGGGCTGGCACTGGAAGACAACGTAGAGGGCGAAGACGGCGGAGATAGTGAAGTCCATGGCGATGGACCCCCAGAACAATAATCTGAGGACGCGGCTGCTGGTCCAGCGCATCATGGTCACGGCGATGGAGGCCTTCATGACGGAGGTGAGGATCACGTAGACAATCTCGAGGAACCAGATGGCCTAGGGATGCTCAGCTTCGTTTTGGTTGAGATGGCGGAAGGGGGGGCAGGAATCAATGACGTACCTTGAGCACTTGTGTGATTCCCTCCACGTTAGATTGGGACGTGTGACCTCCGATTCCACCCGTGACACCCATGAGGAGCAGACCTCCGAGGACCATGTACGCGACCTGTAGATTTTAGTAATTGCAGTACAGCTTCGGACCCAACACAGGATACACACCCACGCGACTCCCATGCCGACATCGTTCCAGCCAAAAACCCTTGTAATGGCCAGCTTAACATATACACGTAGTCCCAGTGCAATGAAAGCCAAAACCGCAAACACGCCCGTCACCACCAGAGCAATCGTTCCTTGGGTGTGAATCGCCATAGTAACCGGTACTAATAATGGGTCCCTGAAGGAGAGGAAGTAAACAGATACAAAGAAACAGAAAAACAAATTAACACCTGTGATGATGGGAAGCGGCTTGTGGATAGATCAACTATGTGGAGAGAAGTTGCAGACGGTTTGCAGATAGTGTCTTTTAAAGAGAATATCGATTCTCAAAATCAGAGCACAGAGCTTTCCTGAGGGAGCTTTGAATCAGGTCAGTTATGAATTACCACCGCTGTAGAGTGTGCGGAAATACGATGCGATTAGACTTGAAGGCGCGTGGGTTTGATGTGTGTTTCTCGCAACACGACTCAGGCTTAGCGAGGCGTTTCATTGTTCCCGATTCTGGATGTTTGACTTTCCCACAAGGCACTCGGGGTAGGAAATGTGAAGTAGGGACAGGAGGCACAGGGGGATGTTAGACGGGGAAAACACAAATAAGAGCTCGGATTGCATGTCAAAATCCAAAGATCGGATCGAAGACGTCGATGCTGGGCAAATGACAGAAACAAGAGAAGGTCAGGCAAGACATCTGCCGGTGAACTTTGGAAAGAAACATATTTTCGCACCGGCTAGGTTATTCTTGCCTGCGCATATTTCGGCCCAGCTCGGGTTTGGAGAAAAAGATGGGTTGACGAGGAAACGAAACCGCTTGCATCGATAGAAGAGTGAGAGGGATGGTATGCCCAACAGTTGATCACTCACGTGAACATAGCGTGGGTGATATTACCGCATGTTTCACTCGCAAAGAAAAAGACGCGGCAAGGGAAAGTGGTCGCAAGGAGAAGAATTGCATTGCAAGGAGAGGCCGTTGCAAGAAAATCAAATAGAGATAGAGGTAGGCGAGAATGATCTGCAAGAAGGAAATCTCGTAAAAGGCCAGGCGAGGCCAGCCTCCAGAATCTCCAACAAGACCGCAAACAGCATTGCTTCCAAACAAGTCTGAGACAACACCCCCAAACTCAGTATATCACGGATGCAGTGGATTGTTTGGCGGTCGGCCGGCTATTACCTTATTCCAGAGCAGATGAACAATAAGAAAGTCTTTCCCGGGCCAACAGAGAGGATAGTATTCCACGATTCAAATTGGAGAGAAGGAAAGGGCCATGGCAGCGTTGGCAAAGAGCAGTATCTTGATGTGGGATGTGGGATGTGGGATGTGAGATGGGGACGGGGATGTGAGTTTGGGATCGTTTAGTCTATTTATTCTGCAGAGATGAATTGCTGACAGTACAGCGGCACGTGACATGGCGATGGATTGGTCATTGGTCACGTGATATACCATAGGACAAGTCACGAGGAAAGGAAGGGTAAAGGGCATCCACCCATCACACCCATCACACCAGCCAGCCACCCGTCCGTCCGTCCGTCCGTTCGTTCGTTCGTTCACTCGCTCGTTCGTTCGCTCGTTCGTTCGCCTCCCGTCGCTAAAATACCAATCAGCAATTACTCACCTTGAAACCACCGACTTTGTTTCCGAGGAAACAAACTATCGAACTCTCTTCCCCTCATTCCCTCTCTCCGGGAAACCGCTCGGCCGATCTCCGTAAACAACGCCTTGCAGAGTTACCGGTACTGTAGCGAGTTCAACAACTCCTACCTACCGGCACTACAAGTATCATGCGGCTGGGTGGGCATGATCAACCGTCAGTCGGTTGCGTATGTACTAGTACTAGTAATAGTACTATTACTAGTACTAGTACTACAACTACAACTACCTACCTATATACGGTACCGTATACCGGTACACATGCTCGCTCTCGCTTCATCCTTTCTGCCTTGCTTGAGGAGAGGGGTGCTCGCTGAATCAATCACCCACCCACTGGCTGGGCGAAGGGAGGTCCGAAGGCAAAAGAAATGGAGATAGTGCTACTATACTGTACGTAGTATATCCTATAGACCCTACTGTATTACTACTACTACCACTCCTACGGTACTCCTACTCCTCCTACCTACCTACCTACTGCTACTACCACTATACCCAAAAGTAAGATGAATTACTTTTTAGGTAGGTATTAATTGTATTTCTTATCCACCCTACCCACTTTACCCACTTTCAATTTTCAGCCGCGTGCAGTCCTTCCGCAAGAGGGCAAGAGCATTTCCATCCTTACTTTACTGCGTATCGGTATTCCCTCTACCCTACCTAGGTGGACTCTCCCTCACGTCGCATCCTGGAATACTCAATCTAGTGTCCTATATAAAGTCTGACCGCATGCAAGCCACCGTGGAGTCGTCGCAAATGCATCAAAGCCCACCGACACAGGCGTAATCGTCCGCTCGTTCGCTCGTCCGCTCGCTCGCTCGTTAGCCCGTCCGCCCGTTCGCGCATTCATTTCTACTTCTGCATACGAACGAACACATTTGATTTCTCAATTCTCAACTCTCTTTTGGAACGGAACAACGACGCTCACGAACGAGCAAGAACAACAGCCACGATGCGATTCCTTACCAACAACAACGTCCCGGCCACGATCATCGCCGTCACCATCGCTTTGCTGGCCATGCCCGCTTTCGTCGCTGCCACGCCTGTGCCCTGCCCCGACGTATGTCCCCCCCATCCTTCTCCTCCCCGCGGAGATGATCCATGGTATCCAGATCCGCAGAACGCATGCTAACAAGCAGCCCACAGCGTACCCGCGACCTGGTCCTCAATAACAAGCTCGACCCTTCCGCGTGCTGCAGCTACGGCGTCTGCAAAGGCGACGTCAACATCCAAGGCGCGTAATCAATCAATCACCACTTTCACTCTCGCTCTCGCTTTCGCTGGTTCTGGACTTGTGGGGGACGTGTGGGGACGGCTATCTACGGCGGATACGAGCATCGCTGCGTACGAACATACAACACCACTTCACGAATTGCTGCACGGTACATCGCTCTATGGCCCTGGGCTGATGCTGGATTCAAAGGGGCTCTGGGAAGGAATACAGGACTTCTCGACCTCCTCTTTTTGCTCAGACATGGATGCATACAAACCTCTTTACGGGCAACGCCAGGATCGGAACGGGATGAGATGCGGCTTCATTATATATATTATTTTTCTAAATAGGGTAACAGGCGCTTGTAGATGGGCATTGAAGGGGGGGAAATTGGCAGTAGGGCCTTGCGGTTGCTGTGCTGTACAGGCTTGGGGATGTTTAGAGCCTGCAGCGCATAGAGGGCAAGATCGATATCGTTGTATGTATCTCATAACGCACACGTACGAAGCCGGACTCGGATATGGATGGAACCAGAGAATCAATTGATAGGAGTTCGCCGGCGGCTAATTTTATTTTTGTCCCCCCTCTCTTTTTCGTTCAATGCACGAGACAAGATAAGGCGCGAGATCTCCTCAACAAGCTTCCTGATGACATCCTACAGGCTCCACTCTACCCTCTTCATCCTTTCGTTTCTATTTTGAGGCAGGTGATCTACAGTCTTGTATCTGTGTTTATCCGACCGACGGACGCCCGCTGGTCGGTTGCCACGGGATAGCCGGAAAAAAATGTACAGAGTACCTACGGTACCGTAGTCGCCTGGGCCGCGGCCAGGTCGCAAGGGCGGGCTCTTATCATCCACGAGGGAAAGAGGAATCATCCCACTCCTTGCATGTGCGTTTGTTTCGACTCGAGGCCCCATGTCTCGGTGGCTTTGGAAACCCTTGCCGAGCTAGGTAAGGTAGGTAGGTAAGATAAGGTAAGGTGAGATAAGGTAAGGTGAGATAAGGTAAGGTAAGATAAGGTAACTTAAGGTAAGGTAAGGTAAGATCAGGTAAAGTAAGGTATGTTATTTTTTCTTCTTCTTTTTTTGAAAGCTCGCTGCTTTACTGCTCAAGCCTCCGCAAGTACCTTATGGGTAAGGTAGGTAATTATGAAGCGGGCCCGCCATCTTCTTTTCACCTGATTCTCGCTTGCGGAGTACGGAGGACGGAGTAAGGGGCGTGTTTGGGTGGTAGGTGCTTAGGAGGTGACTTTGACTTCCCAATCATGGGGTTGGAATTGGTCCTGTTGGCATGATTCGGCAGTCGCAATTGAAGTACCGTACCGGTTGGCGAAAATGGTGGCTTTCGAAAAGGAAAGAAAAAAATTAGAGCTGTACATAATACCAGAAGATGTGGAGGATGGTACATACGGCCATAGACTGAGGAGAATTGGGCATCCCGTTCGCTCTGCCATACACAAGCCTCAGATCGGCAGATTAGTAGTTGGGTGGGTGACCACCAGCGAATACCTGCTGTTGTATGTTTTTGGTTTTTGGTTCTTGGTTCTTGGTTCTTGGTTTTTGGTTCTTGGTTCTTGGTTCTTGGTTCTTGGTTCTTGGTTTGGGCGATTGGAGTTAGGCACCCGCTCATCATAGGGATGATACCGGACACTCTTCTTTTGTCCTTCCGTATATCGATCTGCCAACACCTCGCTCCTTCATCTCCCACTACCTATCTGTCACCGTCATCTATCGGTCAATCTTCGGCCCCTCTTCCTGGGTCCTTTACTGTACAACCTCAGCCCTTCGCAAAGCTCACCCGATCATGGCTGCCATTGGCCTTGATCACAGCGCCGCCAGTAATGCGGGAATCGCTGCCTACGGGTCAAATCCAGTCCACACCACTCTCACCGAAGCTTGTTGTACGGTAGTAACCAAGTTGTGGAGTTATCTGAAGAAGCGGTGGTGAAGTTTGGCACAGGCATCAAGAGCGAGGAGGCAGAAAAGTCTCAGGCGAGCCCTACAAACTACCGGTGGTCTACCATAACATCGTGCACGTTCTGTCGGTTTATCTTTCTTTTTTTTTTTTTTTTTTTTTTTTTTTTTTGTCGACGCACAGCAAGGTCACATTGTTATCAGCACATCCAGGGCAGAGTCGTGAAGCCTGGTGAAGAACATGCATGGCGTGACAGAAAGAATCGCCAATATTCTTGCCCATCTTTCGACGATACGAGGTTCTCCACCGGGTCTGGTCCACGTGGTGGCGGCGTGTCGTGTCGAGTGGTGTCCGCTGGGCGGAACACAGTGGAGAACCCCCTCCTTCATACTCCTGAGCAGATGGAAATTTCGTTTACCTACTGTACCGGGAGACTACGGAGAGAGGATCCTAAACCAAGATCAGGGAACCTGTATTGGTTTTGAGTCATCTTGATACCGCTCCTCGAAAACTTCCTTTTACTCGAGGATGGTTCTATCTGTCCGTCTTCTGGATTGGGCCTCTGCCGGCTTCTATCCCCAAGAGTTTTCGAAGAAAGTGTAGCAATGAGGGTTACATGGGGATTGCGGCATTCTTTCAATGAAGATGGATGCCCTTCACCTGAGAGATTTGACGGAAGAGGAGGCCGTTCAGACATCTTCCAATGATGAGAGCTTACTACAGTACTGTGCGAATTCCTCTTGTAAGCACACAAATCCTTCTAGCTACGCGGATGTTTTACTGCTCACCGTGTCTATAGCGAGCCCGAACCACCAACATCACCCACTGCTGCCCCAGATCGGGCCCGACATCTATGACGACAATCCTGCCGATGATTGATGAACGAAAACTACCTGTTCATCACACATTCCCGACTTGGCAGAAGAGTATCCCACCAACTTTATAGCAAGAGAAGACTTCTCGTCGACGATGCTAGCGCATCGGGATCCAGAAGAACTTCTGTCGTGGAATTACTGCCTCCGAAAAGATTGCCATCAAGAAAAGTCAGCACAACTAGAGGGGGGAAGTCCGCGCCACTGGTTGTTTACGGATCGAGTCAGATTCGCGGCATCGATATCATCGAGAAGAAAAACGATACATCACTGTGGAAGTCTGGATTCTTTGCAAAAAAGAGATCATAAATTTGGATCTCGAAGACGGATAACGTTATCGAAGACGGATAACGTTATCGAAGAGGGATCACGTAAAAAGAATAGGGGCTCGCTTAAATTGTATTGCGGTAAGATTGCACGACTACCACCGGTTTTTCGGGTTCAATACACAATCACACACCGAGTTGAAATTTCGTCTACGCCAAGATAGGTCTATGGCAACCTCGCTCTCGCCTCAGAGAATGGCCAGCGCGTTGGGTGGACTTGCAACACCACCTTGGACGTTCAGTGGCGCGCTCGTCAGGAAGAAGCTGTATTTCTTCTCCCTCTTGCAGGCCTCGGCCAGGCCCTCCAAGTCCCACAGCTCGCCGATTGGCGTTCCCCACATGGCGAGGAGGTGGTCGTGAAGCCCTATCGAAGTTAGCATGCGTGCTCCTACGAGGACCGAGTATCCAGCTTACTGTAAGCCGGCTTCGGCGGCCACACCTCGAACGTGATCGAGTCCCCGGCGACGGCAGCAAAGTGGTGATCCCAAAGCCACTCTACAGTCTCCGCATTACCCGCTAAGCCGATATGTTCGAGGCCGTCTCTTGCGCCCTTGACTCGCGCCTCCTCGCTAGCGCCGTTATACCACTTCACCCACCCGGATCTGATGATCAGGATATCAGCAGGCCTGAACTCGACGCCTTGATCCTTCGCAATCGTCTCCAGATCCTGTACGGTTATCTCGTGACTGCTCGTCGCGGAGTACGCGATGTTGTTTTTCTCGGCCCAGGAGGCGTAGTCGATGAGGACGCCACGACCAACGATACCGCCACGATCGCTCCAGTGGTGCTGGCTGTTGTCGGAGATATGAGCCGGATCGGGGATGTCCTCGTGTTTCAGGCCATTGTAGTAGAGGCCTGTGTCTTGGTGGCCCCAGTGGCGGAAGCCGTCCCATTGCGAGCCCGACTGGGTATTGATGTGGATGATGTCGTCCCAGGCGACGAAGCCGAGGGGTTTGAGGTTTTTGAAATTGTGCTCTGCTTTCTGGCGGGCGAAGCCCGGTTCGTGGACGCATTCGACGGTCCAGCTAGGCTCGATGTGAGTTTCATGGGAGACTATTATGAGACCAGACAATGTGTGTTTATCTTCGGCTAATCAGGTGCTCTTGAAGACTTACTTGAGCGCAACGCTTGTACCTGACTTTATCTCCTTCTGGGCTTCTCTGGCATTCTCGGGAGTCAAGAGATTGAGAGAGCCGCAGTTATCTCTCTTCCCGTCCTTGTCCCAGAGACCCCACGCGGTACCATGGGGCATGCCTTCGACGGCTGGCATGTCCTTGAACGATGGCAGATCTTGAGCACGCATTCTGAAATATGGAACCCTATGTTTGTATATCAAAGACTTAAGATCATCGGTACAGAGTAAAGAGAGGGATCACATCAAGATACCTATATAACCAACCACTTACTACCCCGCACAGCAAAAATCTTATTACTTACTGTACATGGGCCCCCAGAGGCTATTGTTGGTTCCTGTAACTTCTGCCGCAGCTCGCCGCCTCTCCATCTCGCTAATTTGTGGACGTGGGCTCAACGACATTACATCCGCGACTTTGAGCAGTAACTTAACAACAATTGACATATTTACCAGCTCGCTCGATTCCGGATCCAATGCATATGCGAAGAGAGAAAGGGAGAGAGAGAGATGACTGCATCAACGAGCTTCAGTACGGTCTCAAAACCCGCGTCTGAGCAAAACTAGCCCCAGCTTAACGCCGAAGCAGCCGCCATAACGATGTCCCATAGCGACGTCTCTGACGCTCGCCTATGATAAAGGGAGTATATATATGTACCCTCCTTTGTTGACATTTCTATCGCTCAATTTACTGTACCATCCACTCCGGAAACCATTTCCAATATCGGCTGATCAAAATGCCTCGCGTCTTTTTCATCACAGGATACCTCGACCGGATCCGGCAACAACATCGTGCAAGAGGTCCCTCGACAAGGGAGACATCGCCGTAGCATCCGCTTCACGTGCACCGAGCCCGGCGGGTTCCGCGCCGACCGGGCCGGCCGCGCTCCATGCATGGCCTTCCCAGAGGCAGAGGAGAGGCAGAGGAGAAGCTGCCCGCCTACGACCACGACCACCTCGATGCCGAGGCCATGATGCGCGCGCGCAACGGCACGCGGCCGGGACCCGAAGAAGAGGCGGGCGGAGGTTTTCTCTGTACCGGCTTGCTGGCATGGAGGACCCGCCTCCACTGCGGGTGGTGGTCGGCACGGATGCGCACAAGAGCATCATGGTTAAGATCAAGCAGTACGGCGAGAACTACCAGGAGCACGAGAAGACCTTCAACCGTATAGACGTGGATAGCTCCCAGGCTCCTTATTCCCGAGTCGAGTCGAAGTGTACGATGGATAGCGAGTTATACGATAAATACATGTCGACCTGGACCCTGACCTTTAAGGATGGGAAAGTAGCATACGAGCTCACATTGTTTATCAAGAGCCCAGGATCTCTCCTTTCAGAGGACTGGGACATAGATCAAACAAAGCATCGCAATATTGGGAGCAACACTGATATGATATCTTCTTTCTACAGGGTAGAGAAAGGAAGGAGGAAAGAAATACAACGTCTTCCGATCCTCCGCGCACATTACACCACTGCCACCACTAAGCCAGCCAGCTAATCCCTCCCTTCCCGTCCATCAACTCATCAGGTATCAATATTCACCCCCTAGACACTCCTCTCCACAAACCCAACGGTCAAAAGGCCAAACGACCAAAAGCTCATCCGAAATCAATGTGTCCAGAGGGAAGGAAATCCAGAATCTACCCCCTGTTTCTTCCAAGCGTACCAATCCAGACAGGGACCTTTTTCTCGTCTTGAGAAACACCATACCCATCTCATCTTATCTACTCTCATCTCATCTACTCTAATCTCATCTACTCTACTCTCATTCCATCTACTCTCATTCCAACTACTCTCATCTCATCCAATCTCATCTCCCGAGCGCTCCGCAACGACAAGAAAGGGATTCCAAAGACTCGAGTATCAAACACAAAGTTGACAAATCCGGCTCACATCTAGCAAACGCGCTGACGCGTACGGGGGGCTCGGCTCGGCTCAGCTCAGCTCGATAGGCAGATTATCAGGAGACGACTGCTCGATGGAGGTATCCGGGGGGGGGGGGTTGGAAACGGAAAAAGAGAGAAAGAGAGAGAAGGAGAGGCTGGCTGCGACATGGTGGCGAGGAGGAGGAGAGGTGCTTCCGTAGCTAGCTAGATAGATAGATAGATAGCTAGCTAGCTAATTTCACGACGCTGTATATCTGCTCGGTTTGTTTTCTCGATTGTCCGTCCATAAAATAAAATAAAAGATCTCCCTTCATATAGATCACACACACAAAGCAGGAGCAAGCCAGTAGGATTCTCAGAGGCAGTGCTGCCGTGAACCCCTTCCTGCTTTTCTCTTCTCTTCTCTTCTCTTCTGTTACCGCTGACGGTTGGTTGCCTTGCCGCATTGCTCTCTGTTTTTTTTTTTTTGAATTTCCGGGTTTTACTCCAAATTTTGTTTTTCGCGCTGGGGTTTTCCTGGATCATCAGAGATTGATTGCTTTCTTTCGACTTGCTTGTGGAAGGAAGCAAGCCTCGTTCGTTGGTTCCTAGATCTCCTGCTATCTCGGAGGGTTGTTTTTGTGATATACAGGTAATACATATATACATACCTACATACGTACGTGGTCTATCATGTCATATTTCCAGCACCAGCACCAGCACCAGCACCAGCACCATCGCCACCAAAACTCTCACGTCTCAGTGTCTCTGTGCCTCTCGATCGTCTCTCTCCGCAAATGCCTCCGTCACCACCATCTCTCATGGCCTTTCCACCTCCTTCTCTCTCCACCCGCTTCCCAGATTGACCACGTTCCTCAGACTTCCAAAGGCAAGAACATCACTGATCCTCTCCCTCCCCGCAAACAGCATGACCAGCCGATCCACGCCGGCCCCCCACCCCCCCGTCGGCGGCAGCGCCCACTCTAGCGCCTCGAGGTAGCTCTCATCCACGCTAGCGCAGTTCTCATCGTCCCTCCACTGCAGCTGCTGCACGAACTTCTCGCGCTGCGCCAGCGGCGAGTTCTCCTCCTCGTACATGTTAGCCACCTCGCGGTTCTGGATGAAGAGCTCGGCGCGCGCGGACACAGCCTGCGACGTTTGCGAGCAGCGGAAAGATTTTGAGAGCGGTGCCATGCAGGACGGGTGATGCGTGATGAATGTGGGGAGGGTGCAGCGCGGCTCAATGTAGATGGAGGAGAGCTTGTCGAGGAGGCGAGGGAGTGTCGGGGAGAGGGGGAGGGGAATGTCATGGGCCTTGAATAGGGCGATGGTGTCTTTTTCGGCGCTGGGAGAAGATAGGTCTGGGAGTTTCTCGCCGAGCCCGGCTTCGATGGCGGGGATGAAGGGGATACGTGCGAAGGGTTGGTGGAACGCTGCTGTGTCCATGACTGGCAGCGAGGTGAGGGTTGTGGAGATGAGAGAAGAGACTTGTGTCGCTATGCCCGAGAGCATTGCCTCTGTCATACTCATCAGCTGTTCCAGATCGGCAAAGGCCTTGTAGAACTCGCAGGTTGTGAACTCGGGGTTGTGCGTAGCGTCCAATCCCTCGTTCCGGAACGCCGGCCCAATCTCGAAGACGCGGTCCATACCGCCTATCACGAGTCTCTTCAGCCATATCTCAGGCGCGATCCGGAGAGCAAGTGTCTTGTCAGAGAACTCTGTTGCGACGGTGGTGAAGGGTTTGGCGATGGCGCCGCCGGCTTTATCGGCTATGAGGGGTGTCTGCACTTCTAGGAAGGAGTCTGCCAGTAAGAAAGAGCGGATGCTTTGGATAATGTGGGAGCGGAGACGGAGAGTCTCTACGACGGGATTGTTGACCAGCATATCAACATGACGGTTACGGACGCGGGTCTCGCGGTCGTCGAGGGTTCTTGGGAGGGAGGCAAGTGATGGCGAGAGAATCTCCGGAATATCCCATGCATTGACGGACAGCTCTCCCTTTTTCGTGACGTACGGGTTGCCGAAGACGGCTGGGCTCATATTAGCAGGATTCGATGGTGGCATGGATAGGATAAGCCGTACAGATTATGTCTCCACGCCGCAAGAGATGGTAGAACTTCTTGAACAACTTCTCATTGCTAGCCCCCAAGCCAGCCATGCGGCCTCCATCAAGCATGATCTGGACTTGCTTGCCATCCTGCACAACGTCGACAAAAACCAAAGACTTGCTAGCCACGCGGAAGCCACTCACACGACCTAAGGCATACACCCTCACATCAGCCCCTGCTCGCTTGTCTTTCTTTTACAACACACACACGGCACGCAGAAATTCAGGACTGGACGGGACGGGACTGGATGGACCAAAAGGGATGGACCAGAACGGTTCAAATTCTCTATTGCTCGTAAACAGCGCTCTCGTACCTCGCAACGTCACAAATTCACCCTCTCTCTTCTCCGCCGTTCGCATCTCCTTATACCTGTTCGCGAACTCCCGGACCGTGAGCGCAGACGGATCGCTCCGCACCCGGGGCCAGTCCAGGGCGCAGGCGGCCTTCAACTCTCGCATGCGGTCCTGCACGTCGCCTTTAGAATGCGCTTCGGGTTTCCGAGCAGGGTAGCCTCCTACAGGCTTGTGGGGCGAGAGCAGCACTTCCTCTCCCGGGGGCTTGGTTTTCGACGAGGAGAAGCGCGCGTAGGCCGCACTACGGACAGCAGGGAGGTCGGCGTGTAGGTAGGGCCGCAGGAAGCGGAGATTGGGGAGGGAGGAGGACATCTGCCGTAGTTGCTCTTGATTAGTGATGCTGTACAAGATGTAGATTCTTGATTGAAGGAACGGGCAGTATGAGGAGGGTCGTGTCAGACAACGGATCGATGTGAGATCAACCACCCGAAGGTGTCAGTCGCAACGGTTCTAATGTTATATTTGAAATCATCATTGTACCCTCGAGCGCGCCCAGGCGCACGCGATCAATCGTAAAGGAAAATGAAAATAAAAGATGTAACTCACAATGTTGTTCGGCCTGAAGCAGCAGAAAGCTTCAAGCTGGTGGGAAAGAAAGGGATAGATGGGTTCTGCGGTCGCGGATAAAATATATATGATCGAGACCCGCTAGCGCCCGCATAGGTATGGACCCGCTAAATTCTTTTCTGGTTTCTGCTCAAGCTCAAGCTTGCTTATTGACAGAATCCAGAGCACAGCATCAACAATCCCATTCCCAAACTTCGACCTCGCCTGCCCAATCACCCTTCACAAACAATCCACCACACAACCAAATTCCACACCATCGCCATGTCCATGTTTGGAATGGGAAGGCCGCAGCCTTCATCGGCAGAGAAGATCGCGGCCGCGGAGCAGGAGATGGACCTGGTGACGGATATGTTCAACAGGTAGGTAAACTTCTCACGTTCCGCATCCCCTTCCTTAAATCCCTCTTCCCCTCTGTATTTCACATCTGACCATAACAAATCAACAGACTCCAAAAGGCCTGCCTCACAAAGTGCATCCCCCCCACTTACCGCGAGGCCGAAGTCAACAAGGGCGAGGGCGTGTGCCTCGACCGCTGCGCGAGCAAGTTCTTCGAAGTGCAGTTGAAGGTGTCGGAGCTGCTGCAGAAAGAGGCCATGGCGAAGGGTGCGGGAGGGGGTGGTGTAGGCTTTGGAGGATTGTGAAGTGGGATGCAGGCAGAGATGAAGGGGAAGCTTTGCGGCTAGGAGGCGGGGATGTGTTTGTTATGCGCATGGCTGGATTCACGGATATGAGAGGATTGGGTGGGAGAGAAAAACAGAAGAGCCTTTTGGGGCATGTATGGTGTGTATTACTTCGCCGAGTTTGATGGGGAAGAAGCTGCTGGGTTGCTTGGTGCGACTTGAGGATCGATGAATGGACAACAGAGAAACCCCAGATGGGGAATTGTACTATAGAAAGAACGCTTGGAGGAACAGCCTTCATTCGCATCCTCTCAAGCCGCTGCTACTCGTATTACATACACTTCGCTATCTATTCATGCTGCCATGTAAATGCCCAAGGGTATCCCTAAAACGCCCGCTAAATGCTTTCTCTCTCTTCTTTACATCGACTCCCGCCCACTGTACCGTATTCATCATTGCTGTCGGTGTGATGCTGCGTTATTCGGCCCACGCGCTGCTGTGATGTTCGGCCCGGTACCTATTCCCGTAATCGACCTAACCAGCCAGTGACCCCAGCTCTCGGTGCTGAGCTGTTTCTCCAGAGCCTTGGCGCGTTGCTCTAAATCATCAACTTGCCTCTCGTACTGCAACACCCCGTCTTCTACATCTTGGACCTTGGAAATCAAGGCGTTGATTTCATATTCCAGCTTCGCGCCCAGGACTTCAATGTCCTTGATGGCTTCCATGACATGAGACCGTTCATGCCCAAGCATATCCTGGGAGTTCTGCTTGACAGCCTGGTACTGTTCCATCAACTGGTGGTAGAGCGCTTCGAACTCCTCTTGGTCAGTCGCTGCTTGCTTGTCGAGTTTCTCGATGCTTTCCACCTTCGCCTCCACCCAAGGACCTACTTCGTCTTGGAGATTGTTGATCTTCTCATAAAGGTTCTTGTAGTCCGAAGCGATCAATTCCTGCTTCCTTAAACCACTCCAGGTGTCAGAATCATCGCCGTCATCAGACAAATTGCCGATAGGCTCCCAACCCAGAATAGCATCCTCGGCGTCCGTAAACGACATTTGTCGCGGCCACCACGCATCATTTCGTCGTTTCGCGAGCATGGGAAACCCACCAGAAAAGCTGTGTCGGCGATGTAAAAGAACCTGAAAGTTGTTTGGATCGCGCAGCGCTTCCAGCAATGGTCCCTCCAGGTCTTGCTCGTCGTAGACAGAGCCCCCTACCGATGGATCATTCGCAATCACGTCTCGCCGGATCTCTCTAACTTGCTCGGCCCATTTCACCTCTGCTTCCGTATTGCTCTGCTCCTCTTCCGGAAGATTCACAAGTGGGAGGTCTGTCCGTGAGTCATTGGTTAGTGTTTCGATGTTCGGGATAGCTGCTGATACTGGAACCGAAGTTGGCTCTTTCGCCTTGGCCAATCCATTATGGTATAGACCTGGGGTGTCCTTCCAGGTGAACGATTTCTTTATCATTACTGGACTGATTGGGGTACCGATGGGCAGACCGAATGTGCTGGAGCTGTTATTCCCATTGAAATAGCCAGCATCGATGCCTTCATCCTTAGAAGGCTTGCTGTTATGACCTCGAAGTCCAACTGCATCCTTGATCCGACCAAAGCCGGACCTGGCATCGCTCATCTTCCCGGTCACGCTCTTGAAAACGGTCTTCCGTAGCTCTTTATCATTCGGGCTGTCAAGCATGCTTGCGGTCGATCCTGGAGGTTTGTTGCCATATACGGAGTGCGGGCTATCCTCCTTCTCCCGTCTCGTCTCTTCTTCTTGCGACGGAACAGAATCGGCCTTGTTGTGTGACCATATATAACCTCCGTGCTCATTCCTTGAGAATGACATGTTTCCTGAGTCAGGGAGGGTCAATCGTCCAATTTCACCATGTTTTTTTGGCCTGCCGTGCCAGAGCCATTTCGAGCGCTCTCCGTGAACAAGGCTGACAAATCGATCAATATCAAGAGTCTCGATATCTCCGATGCCCGGCTTGTCTCTTCCAACCATTCCTAAGACCATCTCACCTCCTTTCCCACTGAGTTCGGCGACTGTTGACTTGACGGCTTTTGGTACAGCCCATCCTTCGCCAGCGGCGGCTTTTGCTGTGGCCCTATGCAAACGATCCAGCGTTTTTCGATTCAGCTTACCTGTCCGCTCCAACTTCGATGACTTTTGAAACAGCTGTATACCTCTTTTCAAATTCCAAAGGTCGAAGGCATCTTTCCCAACGGGAGCTCCCCACCAATTGAGTCGGTTTCGAGCCCCCATCAGCATACCAAACATGGCTGCCACAGTCGTTGGCCCCAGCACCCCATCCGTAGGTTCGATGTTATAGTACTCCGAACCAATTTCTGTCCACCAGTCGCGAATTGCCTTCTCTGTCACATCGCATAGCATGCCATCTGCATACTCCTGATCTAACTTTCCAAAAACAAATAGAGCCGACTGGGCCATCTTGATAAGCTCTAGTACGGCGCCGTAAAAATCGATTCGGTCGCTAGCTTTGTACAATTGTATGAACTTGGCATGCGTAGCTCCAGCTGGCGGAGACAAGCTCATACCAGCTCTTCCGGAACACCCTAGCCTCTTGAGATTCTCATTGACTATAAAGTCCTCTCTGTGAGCCTTGATGTCTCCATCTGGAACGGGGATGACGGTAAGGGCCGAGGGAAAACCGCTGAGATTCGTAACCATGAGCATTCCCATTGATGTGTCCTTGGGCCGAGCATGGTATTGAGCTACGGCCTTGAAATATGCTTGCATCCTCGGCGACCACGTCTCCTCGTCTGTCGGTACGCCCAACACCGCTACCCACGCCACATGGTTGGAGTCCCCGGTATATGTTGCGATTACGAAGGTCGGGTGGACTCGGGAGCACGCCCATTGTTCGACGAGGTAGAGTTCGTAGCCTCTGAGGAGGCCTCTCCGCTCCATCACCACACATCTGGGCTCCTCTTCGAGATATCTAGTCCCGATCAACGATCAACGGTCAACGAAACGGGGCTGTAGCAGGCTACTTGTAAAGCCTACCTGAAAGCCACCGGGTCTGCGAATACCACGTTCCTTCGTTTGATGGAATCGTTTTTCCTGGCGGACGAGACCTGCTTCTTGGCCATCGGGGAGCCGCTGCCATTAGAGTTATGCTGCTGGGAGGTGGTCCTCGAGAGAGTAAGAACCTCCTCCTTGAGCATAGGTGGATCATGGCCCTGAGGGATGAATCTGGCGGCCATCCTTTCATCTACTAATTTGGAAGTGTCCCCCGCTGCCCCGTTGAGCCCCGGCCGAGTCGACTGGGGGGGTGGACGTGAGGCTGGAGCGCTGATCTGTGGGGCGAAGGCGACAAGGTCGAGGACGAGGACGAGGACGCGGTGATGGGAGGAGGAAAGGGAGGGAGATTGAGACGACTCATGATGGAGCAGTCATCCAGAAGGATTGAGGGTGAGGGTGAGGGTGAGGGTGATTTTGGGTCAAAACTGGATAGGGTGCGAAGAGTTAGAGCGACGGTTGGAAAGCAACAAATAGGTATGGTCGATCGATGGATTGACTGACCCGACGGGCATGGCACACGTGATGTGATGTGATGTGATGTGATGTGATGTGATGTACTACTATAGTGGGTACTGGATGTACTGGGTGGAATGCTGACCTTGCTTGGTGGTGGATGTGATGCTTGCTCATGGCACCTGTGACCTGGGCCTACGTACCTTGTCATCTGCATCCGCCCGTACGGACTCCGACTTTAACTTCAACTTCAACTTCAGATGCTGAGATCAACACCAACACCAGCCACCAATGTTTTCTCTCCCTGGGATTTTCGGCCCATAGCGAGCAAGCGAGAGGCTCCTTACTCGTACCTAGCTACCGACATCTCTACCTGTTTACATACCTACCTACCTACCTGCCTTCCATCAGACCGACCGACTGACCGACCTACCGACCGACCATGGATCAACTCCAGATAGAGCTGGCGAAGCTGCGGAGGGACGCGAATCTCCAGCAGAGCATAGACGATGTCGATAGGATCATTGAGCAGCTGGAGAAGGCGCGGGATACCATCATGACAGGTGAGATGCGGAATATATCTGCTAAATTACCTCCGACCTCTATACTAACCACCAACTCTCCCAGAGCCCGACTCGGCGGCCATCACTCTCGCAAAACTCCAGAACCCAGTGCAGCAAGGCTTCTTGAAGGTCAACGAGGACCTCAAAAAACTGAACAAGGGCCAGAACAGCTTCGGGAAAGCTCTGGATAAGGTATGTACATGCAGACAGACAAACAAACGGGCGCAGTCGGGCACCATCTGCCAGAAATCTGCTGACCGCTACTAGTATTTCCCGGTCAAGGCTCTGCCCACCGAATACGACGCGCTGGCCTCCCACCGTTCCCTCATCAACCGCGCCGTCGCCATGCACCTCCTGCGTGAAGGCCAGTTCGACGTGGCCTCGACCTTCCTGACCGAAGCCGTGGAAAACCCGCCGCAATCGCACGCCACGTCCGCCACACCCAACCCAGCCCGCAACGACTCGTCCGACCTGTCCTCCCTCAAGTCCAAAGAGCTGCAGGAGAATTTCGCCAACATGTACCAGATCCTGCACGAGCTCAAGAACCGCAACCTCCACCCGGCCATCTACTGGGCGCAGCAGCACAGCCGGGGCCTCGAGAATAGGGGCAGCAACCTCGAGTTTGAGCTGTGCAAGCTGCAATACGTGTGGCTGTTCCTGGGGCCAGAGGTCAACGGATTACCGGACGATGGAAATAATGGGCCCTACGCCGCGTTTGAGTATGCGAAGAAGACCTTTGCCCGGCACCAGCTGCGCTTTACGAGGGACTGTCAGCAGCTCATCGCAGCCATGGCCTTCAGAAGTAACCTCAAAGGCTCGCCTTACATGCACCTCTTCGATACCTCCTCGATCTGGTCCGAAATCTCGCAATCCTTCACCCGGGAATTCTGCTCCTTACTTGGCCTCTCCCCAGCCTCCCCGCTCTACATAGCCTGCACCGCTGGGGCCATTGCCTTACCTACGCTCTTGAAACTAGCCAGCATCGTGAGAGAAAAGAGGACAGAATGGACCACGCAAGACGAACTCCCCGTCGAGATCGCGCTACCGAAGAGCATGATCTTCCACGCCATCTTCGTGTGTCCCGTGTCGAAAGAACAAACGACGGAGGCGAACCCGCCGATGATGATGCCGTGCGGCCACGTCGTCGCTAAGGAGAGCTTACAGCGTCTGAGCAAGGGGAGCAGATTCAAGTGTCCGTACTGCCCGAACGAGAGTCTGATGCGGGAGGCGAGACAGGTGGTGTTGTAGGTTTATTGGCTGGCAGATGGGTGGCTGTATTGATGGGCTGGACTAGGCTAGGATGGAGGGGAGGGGAGAAACTTGAGTTTGAATTTGATCTTGAAGCATTGCGTTTGCAGCATGGCGTTGACGGAGTTGCTTTTAGCTGAGTGGCAGGGCGTATGGCTTGGATATAAGGATTGGACCGGACGGGTATGCATGGATGAATGGATTAGGCGAACTGGCTGGCTGGTGAGACTGGGCGGGAGGAAATGTCATGGGCATGGGCATTGGTAGTAGTATTGGCATTGGCATTGGCATCGGCGCAATCATAGCTATGAATCCATCGATAGTAACAACGATGAAGACCAAACAATCAATTAACCAAAAATCATTCTATGATTCATCTTTCGCTCAGCTCAGCTCAGCTCAGCTGTTACGCCGTCATTACATACGTACGTACATTACAGCCCAGAGAATAAGTCTCAAACTCCGAGTCTCGAGAATAGATAATATCGTTGCTAATTCCCCGCAATAAGCAAAGCGAGCGAGCGGATAAGGCTTTCACGTATTGTAGCTAGTTCCAAGAGCAAGGAACTTTGAGGACCATGCCACTAGAGACCATGTACATTGTAATGTCGGGATTCAAATCCGCCAATTCATCGACATCTGAGCAGAAATCCTGTCCAATACTCGTCAATTGGTCCTCCTCGCCGTCGACGACCGTATAATACCCATAATCAGTGCCCGGGATCCTAGAGCAATCGCGAATTCGAGGGTATCTGCAAGGAACTCTTATATAGTTATGCGTAGTGATCGGAGGGTTCGGGTTTAGATTTTGCAAGTTTGTGACAGAAGTGCAAAAGTCCGCCGCGACATTACTCCAAGTGTCGAGGTTTGTCATGGAGTAAAAGCCGGTACGGGGAAGGTCGCTAGCAGGATCGGTCCAGCAGGTTCGACGGAGAGCGGTTGCGACGCCGAGGAAAGAGGCGAGCAAAAGGTTGTTATTGAAACGCATGATAGAATTGGTAAATAAAAGTGATCGTTTTCACGAATTGAGCTTGTAAGAAGTTTGTAGAGCACTACCGGTATGACGATAGTATATAATATAAATGAAAACACAAAGAGGACTTGCTTATCTTATAGGTATAGCTGTGCCTGCGAAGTGGCTCGGCAGTTTTCGTATATATACTTTTTATTGCTAAGTACTTCTCGTAACACTGTACTACCCCCCCTTGAATACATGTCGGACCCAGTTTAGGCCCATAAATCATAGAGCGGTGGTTTCTTAATGGCTCAAAGCCCTGTCGACTCCACTGTATAGACTAAATATTGGCTCAAAGATACTTTTCAAGGCTGAATCTTTATGAGTTAATTGGTTTAAGCCCTAGTAAGATCCCTTGCGAAATTATACTTTCGATATGTGCTCATAGGGAGGGATAATACAAGTATAAAAAATACGAGCAATACGTAATCGTCGGCTCGCCTAAGTAAGCCTTACATTCTTTCAGTTTTAAAAGATATAAATAGACGTTTAAAGTCGTATAAAAGGGCGGTGTACGTAGTATATTTGTTTCAGTTGGCCTTCCGTGAGTCGAAAATCGTTTTACGTATAAATAGTGAGACTTGATAAGATCCCTTGCAAAATTATACCTTTGATGAGTACCTACTACGTATGTATTCATAAAAGAGGAACCAGGAGGTTTATAGTGGGAACTAAACTTTGAGGCACCCTCGAGGGGTAATACTTACGCCTGTACCGTGGTATATACTCGCTGATTACGGCATACAGTACAGTCAGTACAGTACAAATACCCAAGCCAACTCCCTCTCACTCCTTCTCCTTTTCCATGAGATTATTCTTAGGGGATGTAGATTCGTAGGGGAATGGGGAGAGGAGAGGAGAGGATGATGGTAAGTAAGCAAGTAAGCAAGTAACTAAGTAAGTAATAATAAGCCTTGACCCGACGGACCGACCGAACGACCAACTGGCTAGGTACGGTAGGTAATAGACTGAAAGGATGTAAGGAGGCCTACGAAAGCGAGCCGACGATTACCGGTAGGCAGGCAGGCAGGTGGCCCCCTTCCCCCCCTCCCCCCTCCCCCCTCCCCCCCACCAAGAGCTCGCAGGTTGCAAGGCAGCGTACTGATTATTAGGCTAGCTACTTACTATACAGCCATCTCTATCTATCGATACTCCAAATAAATACCCATCAGCTAAACGCCCAGCTATGCCTAAGCCCCAGTTTTCTCTTCCGAAAGAATCGCACATCTTATATCGCAGAACGAAATCCCATATCGCAAATATAGCCCCAGAAATCATGTCATGATACGCTCAGTAACGCCTGCCCGCTCCCCAGGCGCCGTCCGTAACACCAGGAACCCCACCCAAATCTACTCCATCATGTCGGCCAGACTCTGCACCTCAATGACACTCTTCTGCGCAGCGTTACGCGAAACGCGGTAGTAGCTGTCGGTGAAATCGTTGCACTTCATCTCCTTCAGGAACTCCTCGTCATGGGTGATGATGATGAGCTGAAAGTTGGGTTGGTGGCGACGTTGCTCGATAATCTTGTGGAGCGAGCCGGCCAGTGCCCTTATATTGTCTTCATCGAGGTTCGTTGTAGGCTCGTCGAGGGCTATGACCTTCACAGGTTTTAGCAAAATCAAAATTTGTAGCTAGTTGAGGACATACTCCGCAATTGACTCCAAAACACTCAGCAAGAGCAAGACGAATGATGATACAAGCCAAGACCTTCTGACCAGCACTGCATCGACCACGCATATCCATCTCAGCATCCTGCTTGACCATCACGACACGGTAGTTGAAATTTCTTCTCGTCGTCGTCGTGGAAACATTCTCGTTGTCCGATCGAACCATGATCGTATCAACATCGGTGCCCTGATAGGTGGCACGCCACAGTTCACCCGCAATGGAATTGATTTCCTCCATCTTGACGCTATGGAACTGCAAGATGGCACTGTCCAGTGCCTTTGTACACTTCACCATGTCGTCAATAGCGGCCTTGGTGGTTTCGACCTCAATGTGAGCCTTGCGGTAATCTTCGGCCGCACTCTTGTAGTCCGTCTCATAATCTTCCATGGTCTTGCCAAGGTCTTCGTCTTTGGCCGTGATAGTTCCCGTGATCGGACCTCTCTCGGCAGTCTTGAGCTCGCGGCGCTTCTCGGATCTGTTGTATTCACGGAGGTACATCTCATATTCCTCATCGGCGTTGTGAGTTTCGAGCTCAGCAATCTCTGTTCGAACGGCTTCAAGCTCGCGACGAGCCTTTCTGTAGCGGATGTTGTCTTGGATATCCTTCTTGGTCTTGTCGCTGTCAGCGATACGGTCTTTTAGCTTATTGATCTCTTGGACGATAGCCGCAATCTCCTTCTCGATAGTTTCCTGTTCGTCCTTGAGGCGCTTGATTTCTCTCGTACAAGCCTTGAGCTTGTCCGGTCCGCCGTTCTCAATGTACCCATTGATCTCGTCTTCGACAATCTTGAATTTGTTGACAGTCGAGGCGACCTTGTCCTTCGCAGCCTGTATCTCATTGGCCTTCGTGTCTCCGCGTAGCTTGACATCCTCATGTTGACGGCGGGCCTTGGCAAAGTCAGGCTCTAAGGACTCGAGCTCCGCATCAGCCTTGCTGACCGTGGCCTTCTGCTGATTGATGTATTCTCTGAACTCGTCGATCGCCGATATGATATCTTGCTTTTTCTCCAACGCATTCTGTGCTCTATCAAGCTCGGTAGTGGCAGCTCCTAATCGCCTTTCAAGATCAATGATTTCGTTTCTCGAGTTCTCCTTGTCATTGACCAGTTTCTCAATCTTCGGCTTGAGAGCCCTGATCTTTTCATTGCATGCTGCAATCTGCTCACCAAGATCGTCGATGGTCAATGAACTACCAGATAGCATGTCTTGGGATGAGAGCTTTGTAATTTCGTTCTCATGCTTGAAGATCTCATTGTTGTACTTGGTGATATCAGAGACGGCTTTCGCGAAACCCTCCATGTCTCTCTTGGCAGATTCTTCATCATAGACAAGCCTATCATGACGCTCGCAGGTTGCCACTCGGGTCGCCTTTTCGCCTTCGAGTCTCTTGATGTCATTATTGAGGGCTGGGATCTCGATATCCTGCAATTTCTTGCACACATCGTATAAAGGGCGGGCAGGTTCGGCAACTTTGAAAGCTTTCTCGTTTGCCTCCAGTTCCTCCTTAAGTACTTCCTTGTCTAGATCAGCGATCATCTTCTTTAGCTTAGTGGACGCATGGGCTCGCTGCGTCTGGTTGGCGAATTCTCTCTCGCAAAGTCGGCAACAGTTTTTCTGATCGATTGTTTCAATGAACTTGTCGTACATTTGTTTGAGAGAGCCCGCACCAGTGCTTAAGCTTCTGCATTTGGCAAGGTCTGCTTCCAACTCTTGGTACTCTTGCAAGTACTGATCAAGCGTCGTGATTTCCACTGGATCTTCACCCTCAACCTCGAGGATGGAAGTAAAGAGCTTTGCTTGGTTCTTTTGCAACTCGTTGTTCTTCTTGGCAAGCGAAGATCGAGCTGTCTTGAGTTCAAATCCAATCTCATTCAGACGCTGTATCGCATTGTCCTGGTTAGCCTTGGCATCGTCCACCGCGCTCTTACGTTGCTGCAGAACGGATTCATATTCAGTTGCTAGATTCTGGGGAGTCCAGTTTCCGATAGCCTCTGTGAGCTGGTCCTTGTATGTAGAGATCATCGCGTTCAGGGATGATCGAGATTCCTTGGCCTGCTGTTTCGCGTAATCAAGTGCGGCTCGGTCCTTTGCAAGCTTGTTGCTTTGAAAAAGCTCATCGTTCAGCTTCTCCAGCTGCTCCTCCAGCTGCTGCAGGCGACTCTTCTCGGCCTTCAACTTTTGATCCCACCCAGCAGCCTCGGCCTTAGAAGTGGCCTTGTCGAGCATCTCTTGCAATTCGTTGATCTTCGATTCCAGTACAGCTTTTGCGCCTTCGTCTATGCTAATGGAATTCATCTCTGATTGCTTGAGGCGAATCCTTCTTTCATTGTCAGTAATTGCCTGCCCAGCATGAACCTTCTCCTGCTTTAGGGTGGCCTGACGATTCTCGAGCTGTGACAGTACGCCTTGCGTCTGCTTCAGCTCTTCACTTGTGGTCTTTCGAGCACCAGCCAGCTCGCGGTCCTTGTCTTTCGACAGCTTGTGGAGCTTCCCTACGAATTGTCGAATAGCATCCTCTCCGAGGTCGCCGTCGTAGCCACGTATCGAGTGCTCTTGAGCAGCTTCTTGAATGTAGTTTACACGCTGTATCAGCTGGCGCTCGTAAGTCTCTTGTTGTGACTGGCGTTGACCCTGTTCGATTTCCTTTGCAGATATCTGCTCGCGATTCTTCTTCACATCTCTTCCCAGGTGGTTGTGCTTCTCCATGAGCTCTACTCTTGATGTTTGATAGTCCGCCATTCGTTGCTCATATTGGCCAAGAGTATCTCTAAGCCATTCATCGCTTTCTTGGAGTTCAGTCAAGTTGTCCGACAAGCTTTCCAAGGTATACTCATAATTCTCGGCTTGTCCTCGCTTCTGAGCCAGACTGTACTTGACCCCCTGGGCAGTCTCCAAAAGACCTCGCTTCTCCCGTGAGACTTTCTCGGCATCGGCAATTTCCCGATCTAGGGCAGATCTCTTCTCTGTCAAAGCATCGATCTCCTCCTGCAGTCTGTGCATCTTATGCTCGATCTTCACAGACATATCCTTCAGCTCTTTGAAGTTGCTCTCATGGATCTTGAGCTTCCCAAGGTTCTCCTGATGTCCTTTCTTGACCTTGATGATGTTCTCGATGGCTTTCGTATATTTTTGGGCTTCAAAGATCTCGTCGAACTTCAACTTTAGTTTCGAGGGCTCTAGCATGGGCCAGAGGGATTCATCTTGGTGGCAGAATATGACATTCTCAAGAATGGCAGACGAAACCCCAAGCTGCTGTGGGACGATCGCGTTGCAGTCTGCTACGGTCGAGGATATCGAGATGCGTTCGCCGCTCCGCTTGGACTTCATCATGAGATTGGACTCGAGCGTCTTGAACTTTTGAGTCGTTTTCTGGACCGTGAGAGACATGCTTCGGCTAACAACATATTCGGACTGGACACCGTTCCGGAAGCCCAGCTTGACCTGGGCCAGTACCTCCTTCTCTCCGATCAACTGCAGAAGTTAGTAATGTGGGCCATATGATGATTAGAAATATGGAAGGGCGCACCTTCGGATCGTGGACAAAGGCGCCGTTCTTGGTGTTCGGGGGCAACTCGCCGGTGGTCGCGTACTTCAGGCACTCAATGATAGTCTAGGCAGCTTAGCGGAGGATCTACAGTGCATAGCGTAGATGTGTCTGTCCCACGTACCGTCTTGCCCGATCCGTTAATACCGACGATAAGAGTGAGAGGGGTCTGGAACTTGAGGCTCATCTTGTCCTGGTTATCGAAGGAGCGAACTCTGTCGACGAGTGTTAGCTTGGGTGTGCAAGTTATAATGTCATTGAGATATATAGCTTACCCCCGGATACTCAGGTTGCTGATGGACGCTTCGCGAAAGTAAGTATGAGGGTATGGAACCCGATCGTCGCAGAGACAACTTACACCTGTGAGAGTTAGCTGTAGCTTGGATATTTCCTGAACGCCTTGGGCTTGGGGAGCAACTTACATCTTGGCCGTGACTTCTGATGTTACTCGAGGGCGAGGTATTTGCGGGATACCATTGGGAGACGGCTGACGGTTGTTGAAAGAAGGTGTCTGTCGAGAAAGTGGATGGGGGGAGGTTGAATCGGTTCTCTTGCGAAAGAAGACGCGAGCCCGGCGCGTGAGTCACGTGTGTATTACACTAGCGCGATGCCTCAGTTCTGCTTGAGCTACGGGCATGGCATTGATGGACTGATACTTGATTATGTGTATGGATATATATATATCTATCTATCTATCTATATCTACAAACAAATCACCTGGAGTTTTGACCCCGAACAAAGAGAGCGCCGGATAACGGATGCATCATAAACGATACACCACGACTCGGTGAATCCCCAGGAATTTTTCGGATATCGATAAGTACTGATCTTCCCATCTCACCTACCTGGAACCTTGCGCCTCGCTAGACTCACACGCACCCACATCTCTCTACACTCCATGCCACGCCTCGCCTCGCCTCACTATGATCAGAGTGTATAGTCACCGGCACCGATGAAAATAGGCCGCCATTCTGGCCTCCACGACCTGCGAATGCGAATTCATGTGGCGCTGTTGGAGACTGAGAACGCGTCTGGCCTTGCGATGAACCACCACCACATCAACATGGACCCCTCCATGTACTATTCGAATATGGGGGCGCTAGACAGCCTCTCTCGGAGTCTGTCAGCCTCGCAGGTACATTGAGCCTCCGATTTGCCCACGTCGAAATGCTGATTAAATTGGGTGCAAGGCGCGTCTCAGCGGCAACGACACCTCCATGACTGGGATGCTGGAAGAGGCATTGCTAGATGACTACGATAATATGCCCGACCGGCTCGATGTCATTGGCCTCGGCGCCTCGGGGCAGAAGGGCTATACACCGTTGAGTACGGGCATGGAACAGAACAATAACGAGACGGATGAAACAGGAACGCTGGTCCAGAGTCCTCTGGAAAATTCTTCGACGGGTGTGGGCGCTGGACCGCTGCCCACCGGCTTTGGAGCCCAGTCCACCCTGCCTGGAGGCAGTACGCTCACGGAGTTCACAAAGAGGAGGAATTGGTCACAGAAGGTGGTGGAGGAGCTCAAAGACTTCTTGCATATCTTGACACCAGATGGCCGAATTGTATACATCTCGTCGAGTGGAACACAGTTGACCGGCTATCATCGCGATGAACTAATGAACAACTTCATTGTGGACTTCATACACCCGGATGACAGTGGGATCTTCGTACGAGAATTCAATGAGTCGATAGCAAGCGGACACCCGCTTCGATTCTTCTACCGTTTTCGAAAGAAGGACGATACGTATACTATATTCGAATCCCACGGCCACCCGCATCTTTCATCCGAGGTTACATCATACCCTGGACAAGTCAACTCCTCGGGGTTTTGTAAAGGTTTCTTCATGATGGCAAGACCATATCCTACCAAGAATGCAGCCTTACTCGACTCGTTTCTCGAGCACAAGATCGAGAACGAGAGGCTGAGGAAACGAATCGAAGATCTGAAACGAGAAGAGCAGGAGGAGGCCGAGGCTTCGCAACAAAGCTGGCTGAAGAAGCAAGAGGGTAGATCTACGGAAAACCAGTCCGAAGAGACCTATGCGGACACTGGAGCTTCGGTCAGCACCTCCGTGAATAAAGTAAATCCAGATGCCTTAGCCATGCCACCGCCAGCAAAGCCATCCCTCAACCCTGCCTTGACGCACCAAAATCTTGAAAATGCAAACCTGGGAAGCAGGCCGGATTCAATCACCGACAAGATGGCTCGCTATGAGGGCGCAACACACATCGAAACCATTGAGATGCTCACAGGTTTGCGATACCGAGATGGCGAAAGGAGTCAAGGTATCAGCACAGGTCACCAGAGCCCAGCTCTAATCCGAGGCGACGCAGGAATCGCCATTCCAGTAGACAAGGACGGACGAGCAGCCGACAAGAAGAAGAAAATCAAACTGCCAGATGAGTATGTCTGTACAGATTGTGGTAAGTTCATTGTCCCCACACTTTTCGGATAATCGGCCGTTGACATTGCCCAGGAACCCTTGATTCGCCCGAGTGGCGCAAAGGGCCCACCGGACCCAAGACACTTTGTAACGCATGCGGACTCCGCTGGGCCAAGAAAGAGAAGAAAAGAGGCCCAAATAGCAACGGCGGTGGCGGTAGCGGTGCCGGGTCCCAAATCACGGGCACACCGACACCTCTCGGCCCCGAGATGTAGCGTTTCCTGCTTGTGGAATTTGCTATTGGAACATGGGCGTTCGGAGAGCAGCATATTTTTCATATTCAGCATGGAGCTGGGTGTTTAGCACGGGCAATACCAAACGGGCAGGCTCTGGCGTTCTGGCGGACAGGAGCACGCAATGATTCAAGAGTGACATGAACTAGACTTTGCTCTATCTACTCGGTCGGTCGCTATGGAAGCGTGGAGGAAAGCTACTCAGGTATGACAGAGTTACTAAATGAAAGAATCTTCTTGAGATATTAACGGCAAAATTCGCAAGGCAGCTTTACGCCACATACCCACACCCCATCCGCAATGGAGAGCCGGGTTGGCGCCGATTAATTTCATCCGCCCCATACCCAGACTATGTATCTCCCTGCTCTGTAGACCTCAAGATCTACACTTCAATCCCCATCTCTTAGATTCCATCTCCCCCTGACACGCAACGCGCCTCAACGCCGACTCCGAAATCTAACAGAAAACAAGAAAGCAAGGCCCCCCCTTCACATCCAGAAGGCACGTACTAGCAGCTCGCTCATCTTACAAAAACCTCCTTGACCGCCCCGGCATAGAAGCGAAACATCTCTCTCAGCGGCAGCTCCTGCAAAGCATCGCTCCCAAACTGCCAGTTCAGAGCCGTGCTCGCAGCGCCGAGCACGACGGCCGCCTTAGCTGTCTTCTTCAGCACGCCAACGGCGGTCTGCACCCTCCTTCTGTTCGCGTAGTCCGCCTCCCGCGTCTTGACCTTGACCCAGTCGTGAAGCTCGACCCTCAACGGCTCATTTTTCCTCCCGTACTTAGCGACGACGGCGCCGTTGGCGATCAGCAGGATGCGGAAGCCGTCTCTTTCCCGCAGCGGCTTGGCGTGGTCCTTGTCGTCGGCGTCAGAACCGGCTCTGTATCTTCTGATAACAGGCCAGACCGAGATCTTCGTCTGCGCCCGGTGCGTCCAAGATGGCACGTCCGGCTTCTCCTGCGTCACCTTGTCCAGCGCGGTGCGCGCGTCCTGGAGCCTCTTCGGCTCCGGGATTCTCACGGGGCTGAGATCCTGCTTCTCGGGCGTCCCATCTGCCCGGGCTTTGGCGTTGGCCCTGTCGCGCTTCGCCTGGTCAGCGGCCTGCTGCGTTAGCTGGGCTTGCGTAGGCTGCTGCTCGAGGGACTGCTGCTGATGCTCGAGGAGGTTGACCAGGTCCTTGGCCGCCTTTGCACGCTTCCTCCACGGCTCCCACTCATTCTTGCTGAAGGCAGCGATGACATCGGCCTTGCTCTGCGTGTACTGCTCCGTCTCGAGGGAGTACATGTCGTCCGGGTCCCAGTCGGCCCCGGGCTGCAGGTCGACAAATTGCATGATATTAGGCGAGACGCGGACACAGATGGACAGGTAGGCGGCGTGCGAGACGAGGTTGTGGAGGGATTGGTGCAGGTCGGCTACTAGGGGGAGCTTCTTGTTGCTGGGTGGAGGGAGGGAGTACAGGTAGTTGGTGAGCGGCTGCAGCATGAGAAAGATCTGGGCAGAGAGCTTGGCCACGGAGGGGTAAAAGGACTCGGTTACGGCGTTGGCGCCCAGGACGGTGCGGACTGTAGTGCTCAATACGATCCTCCGCTGGAAGCCTTCATCACGCTGTTAGTATCTTCGCTCTCTAACAGCACTGGGGGAGAGAGACGAGATCGGTGTCTGGGAGTGGGGAAATGCATACCCTCGCGACCCAAGAAGGCCCTATCGAGCGCGAAACACGCCTCCTTCTGCTCCTTGCTGGCCCCGAACAGATACTCGTCGAAAACCTTGACCTTGAAGATCTTCGTCAGCACCCCGACGAGGAGCCACTTCCGCTGCGTGCTGTCCTTCAGCAACTCATCCCAGCCCGCCATCGGCCCACGCGCCTCCCAGTCCGGATCAGCAACCTCCTCAGCCCAGCGCACGAACTCGGGCGTCATGCCCAACGCCCACGGCGAGCCGTCCTCTTTGCTGATGTCGTGCAGCGTGAAGTAGTGCGTAACCATATTTTCAACCTGGTGGTACAGACGACGAAAGTTCTCGACCCACCATGCATCGCTGCGTTCCGAGGCGGGATGCGGATGGTACGTTAGCTGGATGGGAACGAGTTTGGCAACGTCGACAAACTGCTGGATTTGCACGGCCGGGATCGGGTACCTGGATCTCTTTGGAGCGGGTGCCTCATCGTCGTCGCCGTCGGCGTCCGAGCGACGTCTCTTGTTGTTCTTGGGCCTCTCTCCATCTGGGTGTGCATCGGCTGGATCTTCCGAGTCCTCATTCCCGTCCTCGTCTCCATCCTCATCTTCACTCTCCTCTACATCATTGGACCAGTGGTTTCCCTCCCCCGGGACGCGCGGCGTACTCAGCCTCAACAGCCTCTCGACCTTCCTCCGATGAGCCCTATCCGCCTTATCCCTCGCGGCCTTCTCCTCCGCCGTGTCGGCAGTAACCCTGCTCAGGATAGCCAGCTTGGTCGCCAGCGCCCTCTGCTCCACGGGGCCGAACCTGCCCGGCGTCGCGAGCCCTGCCGTCCGGCCCATGACTTCCAGGGCCCGCTGGGCCTCGTTCTGGATCCGGGCTCGCGCGGACATGTTCGGGTACCTGAACCTCCTGTACACGTCCGTGGGGATCGCGGCCCTCGCCGGCTGCGCGGGCACGGCATCCTGCGCCGGGGTCGTCGCCGTTGCGGGCACCGCGGCCTGTGCTGCGACGGCGGGTCTTGCGGGTGCCGCTCCGAGGATCTTGAAGGTGTCCGTGACTGCCGTCTGCCGTTGCGGGTTGCCGCGATGCGCCGGCTTGAAACCCCTTTCCGCTTGCGCTGCTGCACCTGTCGCTTGTCAGTTGGCCAATGTTTTTTTTTTTTTTTTCTTCTTCTTCTTTTCCTTTCTCGCGCTTGACTGCTAGTCCTAGTCCCATTCCTGATCAATGCAGGGCGGGGGAGGGGGAAACGTACCCGAGCCCGGGATTATGGGCGCCATGACTGACGAAACTATCTATCTATGATTCTCGAGTGATGGATGATGAACCAAAAAAAAAAGCAAAAGCAAAAAAGTAAGGGGCTGTTGAAATTGGAATTCTTGGGTCGGGAAACTGTCGGGAAGTCGGTACCCAAGTCTCAAGCGAGGGAGAGAAAAAGGGGGGGGGTTAAGTCCGAAGTGGTTCAACAAAGGGGAGTGGAGTGAGTGGGAGGGCCAAGGGGGAGGGGGTTGGGCATCTTATTATTCATTCATTCATTCGTTCATTCCTCATTCCTCTGTCACTCAAGTAACCAACCAACCACCGCCGGAAATGGGGATGGGGGGATGGGGGAAACAAAGGAAAGCATTGTTAGTTGTTTGGGAACGGGTCAACAACGGATTTGGAAGGCAGGCAGGGAGCAAAAGGATGGATGGCTGCGAACAGAAAATTAAGGGAAAGAATGGGAATCAATGATGATGATGATGGTGATGGTGGCGGTGGTAATGGTGATTTGCAGACAGATATACAATGAATGAATGCATGCATGCATGCATGCAATTGCTCTGGATGCGGCTTGAGTAAGGATATGATTATGGATATGGATATGGATATGGATCTGGATCTGGATATGGATATGGATATGAATAGAGGACCACTTACTTTTCAGTCATACATCAGAAATTCTAGGGGGTTTTTCGAGTCCTGATTGGACCGGGTTCCATCGTCGCTCTCCCTTCCTCTGTGGCTGGCTGGCTGGCTGGCTGGCTGGCTATGCTTAGCTAGCTCGCTAGCTACGAATGCCTAACGCTCTGATTCAGACATGCGAGAGAGCTACCGGTAGCTATGACTTCAAATGTGTATGTAGGTATTGCATTGGTCTAGGTATCATACCTACCTACCTACCTACCTACCTTTTACCCGGACTCCCTCTTTCTCCACCTGCAGAAGTCGGAGAGGAGAGGATTGGTGTAGTCGGGCAAAAAAAAAAGGGAGATTGATTCCCTGGGCCGGGACGTCCAGAGATGGACTCTCGGACCGCTGTCCTCGGGATGGTGGTGTTGACATGGGCGGTCCCACGGGATGGAAAAAACCGAGAAGCCGCGGCGAATACCTACAAGTACCGGTACCGGTACCTACCGTACACGATTGGGTTCGCGGGGCAGGTTGGTATCACGTGGGCGCAGAGAGCGGAAGAAGGTTGGGAACCGGACCGACGCAGTCGTTAGTTACATCACATGATTTAGCCAGATCTTAGCGCGCGTCTAGCGGCCGCGTCACTCTTCTCCCAGGTAAGTAGGTACTACTACCGGTAGGTAGGTAGGTAAGGTACTTGAGCTTGCTCTCCACCGTGGACCCCTCGCTTCCCTCTGCATACTTACCTTCTTGCAAGCATGCCGCTCACGCATGGCGTTGCTTACGGTACGAGACCTCCATTGCACATCGGGGCGTTGAGAACCGTTGAGTATGCTTCGGTGTCCTCAGTGGGGGAATTTTTGATTGCTTTCGCGCTGGGGACGTAATTTATTTTCATTGGGATTTTGAGCCTTGAGCTTGAACTTGAAGAAGAGGAGGAGGAGGAGGAGGAAGAAGAAGTGAATGAAGGGAAAGAAGTGAATGAAGGGGAAGAAGAGGAAGAGGAGGTTTGTTGCCTAGGAGCATACTTGGTTGGAGTACCGTAGAGGGATGCGAAAGAGAAGAGAAGAGGCTCAAGTCGTGATTCTACACGGGTGGCTGGTGGGCTCCCGGCTGGTCTGCGGGGATCTTCCCGCTGTCGGTCGCTGCTCGTTGCCCAGAAAAGTCAATCGGCCGCCACCGTCCGCCGGTCCGGATGATGGGATGAGAGGAATCGCCAAGCACGAAAAGTACGAAAGCGACATGAACTCGTCCCAAGCCCACGAAGCGAGCACTTGGATGTTCGACGTGCGGATACGACCCAACGGACACCCCGGGGCCCATCCCGCCGCGCTTCACACCTCCAGGCCGGGGCACACGATTTCTCGATTCGAAACAGATCATGTGATCCGATCCCATCTAAGCGTGACCGTGACCCGATCTTTGAGCTGATGGCCTTTGCTACTATGTATATATGGCCGATGACCGTCCGGCGTCCATGGGGATTCTCCTCACCCGGCCAGGCCACCCGGGCACCGCAAGCACCGCAGAGCACAGCACAGTATCGCACGTTATAACACGGTATAGCACGGTATAGCACGGTATAGCACGGTATAGCACGGCACAGCTCAGGTCCGCTCCGGCGCAATAGCCAGCCACGTCTGATTGTTCTGGTGACGGTAATGTCACTTGTACATGGTTCCATCGACTGCAGAGCCCAAGGCTCTCTTCTTCTGTGCCTCGGCGCGCACGACACACAGTCATATAGACAAGGGAGAGATATAGATAGAGAGATATACGGTAGAGATATACGATATACAAATATATACACATAAAGTATATACACATATATTTATAGTTGTATCAACTAGTCGGTACCTTACTTACCAAGCCGAGCTAACCCAGCGAGCCCCATCCCGCGCCCCACTTGCTCTCTGGGCGGAACGCCCTACACCACCCAATCCAATTCATGCCACTCTAGACCGTCATACCCTTTCCAAACCCTACCCCTACCCAAACCCTACCATCATCTCGGATTTCACGGTGGCCACGATACTGCCGACATCGACATCGACATCGACAACAACAACAACAACAAGAACAACAACAACCACCTCCCATCTCAACATCTCAACTGTAATCGGCCTCTCTACCTGCACCTTCGTCTCCAGCCTCTCTTCGCTCCTTTCTGTCCACCGCCCGGCCACCCGCCCCGCCCCTTCCGCGCCCCTTGTACGACAAAACAAACCCGACCCTGGAAACCCATTTTCGCCCTCCGTCCTGCGCTCTCTGCCAGCCATTGTTTCACGCTCGTTGCAGAACCACCACCCCCCCTTCCAAACCAAACAACCTCGATCCCTTCCTCAGCAACTTCACGACCCCATCAACACCAAACGCGCCCTTCCTAGCAAATTCCCATCGAATAAACTTCTGCCGTCCCATACATTCATTCATTTGTCGCTCCGCCCCTCGGCTGGCTGCTCACATCTTCCTTGACCGACTCATTTTCTTTGTCCTTCGAATCAACGCCATCCCCCAGCTCCCGAGCGGAGCGCTGAATCGGCTCTTCGGATGTCTTACAAGCTGGACTCCAGATCTTCCATGAATAGAGGTAGAGGCGATTCCCAGGACGCGCTCACCTACACCGGCGGTTGCTACTCCAGAGACGGCTTGACTCCCCCCATCGCAGCCGTAGGGCCTCGCAAGAGAAAGATGTACAGGTAAGGGCGGGACTCGCAGCGTCGCAGCGTCGCAGCGTCGCACATTGCAAGAGCACTTTCTCACTGGGGACAGACCAAATACCACTTGGACCTGGGCGTTCATGATCGCGGCCATCATCCAAGCCGTGATCGTGCTCGCGATCGAGGCGTATGTAACTATCATATGCACCCCCAGGCTTGCCCCAGGACTAAATCAAGCGTACAGATACCTCTTTGCCAAATTACAATTGAGCATCCAGCCCGGCCACCAAAAACAACCCCTCGCCAAAACCATCCCTACATACCTCACCCTCTTCATCTTCGGATTCCTCTACCAACTGCTACTCGTCTACGATTCGTTGCGCCTCAAGAACACCATTCAGGTCATCGGACTGTGCATATACAATGCCGGTATGCTCATCTACGGTTCGATCCAGTACGATCAAATCAAGACCTCCATCGACAGGCTGGGTAACAAGCAGTGGCTGGATCCCGAGAGAGGGGATCTCTGGCACGATATCAAACCCTTCCTGATCACGGTCCCATGCGTCATTGCCTTCTTCACGATCGTAATATCGGTGATTGCGTGGAAGCTGTACGACGAGTTTGCCTGGACCATCTACAAGCACATCAGTGCAGATCTGAGGATGAAGCGCCGGTTTCTGACCTTCCAGGTGCGGATGGTTCGCTCTCCCTTCGCGCCTACGTAAGCTGACAGGAATAGATCTACATCGCCTTGCTCAAATTCGACTTCTTCTTTTTTCTCGGCTTCACGGTCCAGTTCCTGGTCGTGGTGACCGGCTTAGCCGATGTGGAATTCGGCCTCACCATCGCCGCCATTCCCGTGACCATCGGCATCCTCTTCATGGCCGCCTGGTTTACTCGACGCGAAAACAAGATCGGGATGGTCTGCATCCTCCTCCTCTACTTCTGTGGCCTGGCCTACTTTATCTTCAAGCTGACCCGGATGTACCAACCTTCGCGCGAAGTCAACTACCTACCAGTCCGAAAGTCGTTGACGAGTTTCGCGGTCCTGACCATCATACTGATCATCCTCACCATCGCCAACGCGTGCGTATGCATGGCCAATTTCGACAAGGGGCTGAGACCACACATCATGAGGCGTGAGATTGGTGGCGAGGAGGTAGAGAAGATGGAGCATATGACCGAGCTTCCAGACCTCAAGCACGGCCAGCCGCTGCCTATATCGAGCCGGATGACCATCGACTGAGTTACGGGCTGCTTCTTGTTCAACCGGCGCAATTTGGGGGGGACCTGGGATCTGGCATCTGGCATCTGGCATCTGGGATCTGGGATCTGGGAGGGGGCTGTGAGATGCATGGCCATGTATACTGTAACGATACCGGTGACGAGTCTCTTTTCCTCTTTCTTTTTTTCTCTCTCTGTTCATTTCCTTTCTGTTCTTTTATATCAAATGTCTTGGCCAGTGTGGCATATCAAGACTTGGCTCGGCGGCGACTGTTCATACCCACGGCGTTGGAGCGTTGAAGGCGTTGGGAGGGATTTCCTCTCGGTTGTTGCACGGTTACGGCAGGATAAGGGCTTCTGGTCTAGGGCCACCCATCGTGGTTGAAGCCACCGGGTATGATGGTGTGGCGTTTCTGTAGGAGTAGCAAATATAACGATCCAGCTATGCGAGGATTTTTCCTTTTTTCCAAAGAGAGGAATCCTCTGGTGAATCTGGACCGGGTAATTATGCGTGACCATCTTAGCTCTTGATCGGCAGGCTCAGTTGAAATGGATCTATCTGTAAGGATGGACTTATCAAACATATATGATGGTGATGTTGATGCAAGGCTGGAACGTGTAGTTGAATACCTCTGTTATCGTCAGGAGCTCATGATAGTCTGAGGTCTTCAAGCTAGGGACTGTGGTCCGCGCCAGATCTCAAAAACCGAAGATTTCCCCCGTACTTCTAATCTGGTGATAGGACAGGGTTTACGAACTTGGCAATCAAACGAAACAAGACGACATTCGAAATGTCACTTAGTCACTTACGTATAAATAGTCGAGATGAAACCTGGGTTCTGAGATGAGATGTCTTGGAAAGTACCTACGCGACTCCAGATCCTAGTCCTTGAGGCTCAGTAGGAAGAAAGACGAAAGACCCTTCGCCAAGACCACCCGCATCATCGCGTCAACTTTTGTAAATCGAATCGCGCCCCCAAACTCCGACCCGACAAACCACAATCTTCTCTCCCATCATGGATGTTCCCGACGACGACGAGGTCTTGAGAAGCCTTGCCGACGGCAAGAGTATGGATTAGTATGCGCCGCACCGCAACCCCTCTCCTGCGCGCGCGCTCATCGCTGACAAGCCCAGCTCGCAATGGCCGGACATGTTCCCGCGCCTCATCACCCGACTAGAGAAGGCAAGAAAGACGCCTCCATTCCTCTCGACATCTGCCACTCCGCTGACATGACACATCTCAGATAATCCAGGATGTCTTCCCTCCTCCCAAGCATCAACCAGCACCGCAGCTGCCTTCCTCCCCTCCCTCCTCAGGCTCATCCCACGATAAAGAGAATGCCCCTCCGCCAGCAACGACAACGACAACAACGACGACGACGACGACGACGACGATGACGACGACGACGCCGACGAACGAGAGCGATACTTCCAGCTCAACCCTCCCTCCACTCCTCCAATCCCTTCACGACTCCATATTCAGCACTCTCAAAATTCTCTTCTCTACCAACCCACCGCACACCATCCAGCGCCTCGCCGAGCTTATCCTCGATCCACAACAACACTACCGCTCCCTAGCCGCCTACCTCCACGCCCTCGACCGCGTCGTGCACGTCACATCCGGCGCCCACATCTTCCCCCTCCCACCCGCCATCCCAGACCCGTCGTCCCTCTCCGTCCTAGCGAACGGCGCCGGCATCAGCAATGTGACAGCCGAGCGCGTGTCCTGGGGAAATCCCGCCCCGCCCGGCGCGAGCAGCGCGGCGGCTGTAGGACTGGGCAGCGATGAGAGTCTCGGCGGCGCGCTGCTGACGCCCATCTCGTGGCTCTCCGCACCGAGGAGTAGTGGCCGGAGCAGGAGTCCACTGGACGGGGAGGTCAGGACGGAGAGCACGGAGATGATTGAGGGTCCCAACGGGCCTGGGGGTATCGAGACGGTCTCGGTGTCTGTCAACGGGGTTTCATCGACTACGACAGTTGGGTCTGCTGGGGTGGGCTCGAGCGCGGACAGCGACATGGCGGGCCTGAGAGCCGAGGGGGGCATTACGCAGGGAGAACTGCTGAGACAGGAGCAGAAGGCTGGAGTGGTGCCCGCCGCGCAGCTGGGCGTGAGTAAGGCAGGGAGTGATGGGCTGGGAGAGGAGGAAGAGGTACCGCATGCTAGAGGGCCTGAGGAGATTGGCATGGAGGATATGGGGCCTCAGGCTGGGGTTAGCAGTACCGAGAGGGCTGTTGGGGCCGACATGAGGGGGATTGATGTTGAAGCTGCTGTGGGACGGAAGATCGAGATGGAGAACGAGGATGAGGAAGCCAACAGGGAGGATGAGGTCAAGGACGGGGAGATGAGCGAGACGCCAGGCACGCCGAAACGAGAAGCGGATGTTGTCATGGAGAGTGATGAGAAGAAGAGGGTCAAGTCCAATGAGTCTGGCGAAGCCAGCAAGGCCGAAGAGGCGGGCGTGGACGCGGATACGGGTACGGCAATCGTAGATGCAGATGGCAAGACAGCCGCGGAGTCGGAGATGGCAGATGATGGCGAGACGAAGGGCGGCGATGCCGTAGATACCCATACGGAGGTATGAATCACCTTCTCGTTGCGTTGGAATGATTTTGTTGGCGTTGAGGT